CGCTGCAGGATCCTGCAAGACCCTGCAGGATCCTGCACCCAAGCCAGGGTCAGGGCACCCCTGGCTCTGCAGGATCCTGCAAGATTTAGATCGGGCGTTCCTCCTACAGGGGGATTTTGGACGAAAAATCTAGACTAGTTAATAATACTCCTCCACATATGTTTTTTCGACTATTCTTGAAGTTTCCCCCTGTAGAGGGACAGGCCCGACTTAATGCAAGATCCCGCGCTCTGGATGACCCCCTCTTTGCACGGACCCCCGCCCTTCGAGCCGCGACTCGGCAGGCTCGGCTCTGCCAGGCCACTCGCGCGGTGAATCGGGTGTGGTGCGCCTCGTGGAGGGCCTGCGGCCAGCACGACCTAGATGCGTCCATGGCCACGGAGTCGGGCGCCCCCTTGCACGAGTATCCGAGTACGTTTGATTGCTGTTCACGGGTTGCAGTGAGTCTGTGAGGCTCGGCGTTGGTGAGCTGCGCGAAGGCTTCTTTTGTCCCAAGGGCCCCGCCACGGAGACGGCCCAGGCTGGCACAGGTGGAAGCGAATACAAAGGCAACGAGCTGAACGCAGACAATGCGGTATGCGGCGCAATGTGGCCCAAAACAAACAGCTATACGAAGACATATCGGCTACATGAGGGGGCTCACATGGCAAGTCACACATAGGTAAAGTACTTACGACGAAGAACTATTGCATGATATGCGAGAGCACGGTCAGGGACACCGAAATCGCAAGGCAGCAACTTGCAACTAGCATGGTTCGTGGTTATTGTCCTAAGTCCAGAGCCCGATATGCCAGCCCCTTGAAAGAGCCCAATAGCTTCAAATGCCCATTGTGCCTCGACGTGTCCGAGACCGTAGCCGATTTTCTCAAGCATTGTCGTGCACACACTCAACCACTTCTTTCCCCTTCGTTTCATTTTCGAGAGTTGCAGCAAGATGGTGGAGGAGGCCTCGAGGCCTCGAAATCGTGGATCGCTCGCTCTGGTGCTCGGGCGGCAAGTGCGAGAGCCAGCATCGCAGGCAACGGCATAGCCAAGAAGTTCAAGGGCGGGGGCAAGGAGGCGGACGAGGCCATGGAGGACGAGGACGAGCTGGACGGCACGCTGGCGGCGATGCAGTCCCTGCTCATTCAACTCGAAGGGCGAGTTCGCACGCTGGAGAACGAGGCACACAGGACGGTACTACTCGCCAAGAAGTCGCCCATCGTGAAGGCCATCAGCGACAGCTTCCAAGGATTTGTGACGAGAAAAGGAAGACCGTGGAGGAGGGAAACGACATCGGCACGCCAGCGTTTCATTGCCTTTTCGGGGCTCTCGACACTAGCTTAGACTTCGAGCAGAAGGACGCCTCCCCGCGGATGGCCAGCGCGCTGGAGGCTCTTAAGCGCCTCAAGGAGATGCTCGAGGCGGGCTCCCCTAAGGATGCGGAGAAGTGGATATGCGAACTCCTGGTGCTCCCGACGTTCGACAAACCTGGCAATGAGAACAAAGTCCGTGCTATGTTCAGTTTCCAAGGCGAGGTGCTACTCTCGAAGGACCAGGGCCACAACGTCGCCCTGATGAAGGCCATCAAGGACAAGGGTCACGATCTCCACAGCTTGAGCCCGACGGAGCGCCCAACCGAGATGCCTCGAATGCTGGGGACGCTCGTGCCCGTGGAGACCATCTTCGCAGAAGGCGCTGAGGAGCCTAGGCGGGCAGCTACCTGAAGGACGGGCACAGAGGGGAAACGTGGCTCGGCAGATCGGAGGTGGAGCTCGGGAAAGTAAACGCTAAAATCCTAGCGATGCCAGGTTCGCGTCGCCACCTGGGCCTTCGGAGGGGTGCGGTGGCCTCCCCCCTTGGGCTGCAGCGCGCTGGCCCGTGGGCGTTGAAGTGGGAGGGGCGGCCCAGGAAAAGTTGCAAGGACGCAGCAGTCTATCCGTGTTCAACTACACTGCTGCGAGTGCGGCGAAGTTGCGCCCACCACCCCGAACTCAGGTGCCAATGACGTGATCGGACACCTCTCCTTCATGAGTGTTGCTGAGCAGCTGGGCCACGGGTGGATCGCAGATCTCACTCACTCCTTCGTGCTGTGTTGGGGCCTCGTGCGGTCAGTAGCTTGCCGCCTCGTGCCGCACCCCCGCGCTGGCCCCAGGCTGCGGCCATCAGCCTCTGCAAGCCCGCAGACACCAGAGAGGGGGTGTTCCATACTTGCAGGTTCCCCTGCCCAGAGTCTGTTTTCCAGGGACGTCCTGGGCAGCTGGGACGTGCGGCTGTTCGGCGCAAGCTGAGCGGCCCCAGGCAGGCACGCCAGTGCCCCACCCCCCTGCGCCCCTCCGGAGGGCCGGGGCCGTGCGCTTCGCGGCGTCTACAGAGTCGCTCAGCGGCATCTGGAGACGGCCCTCGCCTTCACTGCGGGGCAGGGGCGTGCACGGACGGGTTTTTTTGTCCTGTCGCCGGCGGCCAGAGGAAGGCCTGCCGTTGAGACTCTGGGTTTGGGATCCCGGGCCCCTGGGGGATGGGGCGTGCGGGGCGCTGGGCTCCTTTTGCGCACGGGGTACCTGGACGCTTCTTGTCCTCCCTGCGCCCTGCTTCGGCTTATGGCATCGGTGTGCGATTTCTGCCGACATCTGATTGCTGGCTCCCTTCCAGGGGGGAGGGGCCTGGGCATGAGATGCGCGAGCCCGCCATTGCTGTCTGCCGAGGCGGCTCGCGTAGGGTTGCGGCTGGGAAGGGGGGTGCCTCGTGTTGCGGGGGGTCCTGCTCGTCATCCTCTTCTCTGGGGGCTCGCCCAAAGCTGGTTTGTATAGCTTCATTCCCGCTGGTACCGAAGCGTGGCCCTTACATGACTTTTCAGCGTGACAACTGATCTCCCTGACTGCGGTTGGCGACTCGGCCACCGCCTTCGACTCGGGACCTGGCACACAGACGGGGGTCAGGACAAGTGAGGCGGCCAATAATCTCCTCTTCGGCTGCTGGTCGCCCTGCCTGGCTTTGTTTTTGACTCCGGCTAGGCTTTGCGTGGCCGGGTTCCACACCTTTAACTACTTTCACGCGCTTCGCGCGAGGGCGGCTTGGCGTCGTGCAGCCTGCTCGCCATCAACACCTACAGGGTCTGTTTCCCAGAGATTCTTCAGAGGATCTGACCTGAATGGGAAGAGAGAGAGGGAGAGAGAACTCCTCCTCCTCCTCATCATCATCACCATCAGCATCACCATCACCATCACCATCATCATCATCATCATCATCATCATCATCATCATCATCATCATCATCATCATCATCATCATCATCATCATCACCATCATCACCATCATCACCACCTCCACCATCATCATCATCATCATCATCATCATCATCATCATCATCACCAGCATCAGCATCATCATCATCATCATCATAATCATCATCAATCATCACCATCATCAGCATCAGCACCAGCAATCAGCATCCTCATCCTCCTCCTCCTCCTCCCATCCTCATCCTCCTCCTCCTCCTCCTCCTCCCCTCCTCCCTCCTCAATCCTCATCCTCATTCCTCATGCCTCCTCCTCCTCATCATCTCCTCATCTCATTCCTCATCCTCATCCTCATTCCCTCCTCCTGCCTCCTCCTCCTTCTCCTCATCCTCCTCCTCCTCCTCCATCCTCCTCCTCCTCCTCATCATCATCATCATCATCATCATCATCATCATCATCATCATCATCGCCCTCCTCCTCCTCCTCCTCCTCCCTTTCCCCCTCCCTCTCCTCCTCCCCGCTGCCTCCCCCGCCCGCCCCCGCAGAAGGGGGGGCGCGGCCGCCACGGGCGGCGCCTGGCCGCCGCCGACGTCTTGGATGTGGCGCGGTGCTTGCTGAGGAGGGAGCCGATGCTGGTCTTGCGGGCGGCGGCGGCAGCGGCGGCCCCAGAACCCCCTTCGCTGATTGGGGGGGGGGCGAGGAATCGTCGTCGCCGTCGGCGGCGGCGGCGGCGGCGTCGCCGTCGTCGTCGGCGCAGTCGTCAGCGTCGGCAGAGGCGGCGGCTTCGTCGCCGTCGTCGTCGGCGCAGTCGTCGGCGTCGGCAGAGGCGGCGGATGCGGCGTCGTCGGCGTCGGCGGCGTCGGCGTCGGCAGAGGCGGCGGCGGCGGCGGCGTCGGCATCGGCGTTGGCGTCGGCGTCGGCGTCGGCGCCGTCGCCGCCGTCGTCGTCGTCGTCGTCGTCGTCGTCGTCGCCGTCGTCGTTCCTCTTCCTGCGCTCGTCCTCTTGGGGGGGGGGGGGGGGCGGCGGCGGCAGCGGCCCCAGATCCCCTTCGCTTATTGGGGGGGCGAGAAATCGTCGTCGTCGTCGTCGTCGTCGTTCCTCTTCCTCCGCCCGTCCTCTTGGGGGGGAGCGGGGGGGATGGGCGGCCGGAGAAAGGAAGGAGGGGATGAGGGGAGGGAGGACTGCCAAACCTGACACGAAAATCCTGGACCGAGGCCACGAGGCAAATGCATGCGTCACGGAAACCGTGCCAGAACGGCCTCATGAGGAGGAGGAGAAAGAACGATGATGAGGGGAAGGATCGGCGAGAGAGGCTTGTTAAGGGTAGGTGAGCGAGGGTGACAATGTGATGAGTGGGACATGAAGAGGAGACCCAGAAGTCGCTGACACTTCTCCTCCCTGTCTCCTCTCTTCCGCCCTCTCCATCCTGCTCATCCCCGACATCCCACCCCACCCGTCTCCCCCCCACAACCTGCATCTCCAGACCCCGCTTGTTGCCAGCTGCCCGCTTATACTCTCCCCGCGCCTCCATTCCTCCCTCGTCATCTCTTCCCCTCCGTCTCCTCCTTCTCCCCCCCCCTCCTCCTCCTCCTCCTCCTCATCCTCCTCCTCCTCCTCCTCCTCCTCCTCCTCCTCCTCCTCCTCCTCCTCCCTACTCCTCCCTCCTTGTCCTCCTCCTCCTCCTCCTCCTCCTCCTCCTCTCCTCCTTCCTCCTCCCTCCCTTGTCCCCCTCGTCTCCTCCTCCTTCTCCTCCTCCTCCTCCTCGTTCTCCTGCTCCTCCTCCCCCTCCTCCTTTCTCCTGGTTCCTGCCTCCTTCGTCCTGAGCTCCCTCCTCAAGAGGTCGGGCCTCGGAGGCGACGAGATTTCAAAGCGAACGATCTGCGCGACCCCTTCGACCGAGCAGCCACCACGACGACCAGCAGCCCTGTGCATAAACACCACACAGGCTGCACGAGTGCCAAGGTCAACCGCAGCAGACGAAGGAGCATCAAAGCACAGGAGCCCTCATCACATGTGCAGCTCACGAACAACATTTAAAACAGGGCTACCTTTATTCATACAAAGGAAATCGTATAAATCGCTCCAATAGCGTTCCGGAGCGCTCTCAGAGCTTCCCGGAACGCTCTGGAGGCGGGGCCGCGGCGCCCAATACATCCTCCAAACCTGCGAGAGAGCGTGATCACCGCCGCTTTACTGGTGGAAAATTGCCAACTTTTTTCCTCCGGAACCCGGGGTCGCCCCCCACCCCCCCTCCGAAAATCCTCCCCCCCTCTGGCTGAACCCCTCCCCCCCCCCCCCCTCTCCCCCGGCAACCTTCACCCCTCCCACTAACCCATCCTTGGATCCCCCTCACCACTCGAAAACTCGGGGGGGTCCACTATCGTTCGAAACCCCTCCCCCCCCCCCCTCTCGATCCGGAAAACCGGGGGGGTCACTACCGTTCGAACTCCCCCCCCCCCCTACTCACCGCCAGCAAACGACTCCCGGTCCCCACCACCGTCCGCATCACATCCCCCACTGGTGTTCCCAGCACCACTGCCCTCACCACCGCTGTCCCCACTGGTTCCACCACCGCCCCTACTGTCCCCACCAGTGGCCCCACCACTGTCGCACTGTCCCCGCTGTCCCCAGAACTGTTCCCACCACGGTTCCACTCTCCCCACTGTCTCCACGGCCCCAACCACTGCCCGACTATCCCCACTGTCCCCACTGTCCCACTGACTCCTCCGCTGTCCCACTGAGCTGTCCCACTGTTCCCACCACTGTCCCCACTGTCCCCACCACTGTCCCCACTGTACCTCTGTCCCATTGTCCCACCGCCGTCCTCGCCACCGCCTTCACCACTGTCCCCACCACCATTGTACCCTCCACTGCCCCACTGTTTCCACCTCATTCCCATTGTCCCCACACCACTGTCCCCACCACCACCGTCACCACCACTGTCCACTGTCCCCCCCTGTTCCCACCATTGTCCCCACCACTGTCCCCACCACTACCGTCCCCACCACTGTCCCACTATCCCACTGTCCCCACCACTGCCCCGTTATCCCCTCACCACTGTCCCCACCAACACCGTCCCCACCACTGTCCGCACCCCCACTCGGTTTTCGAGGAGGGGGTGGGGGGGGTTCGAACCGATCGTGACCCCCCCCGGTTTCCGAGAGCTGGGGGGGGGGGGGGGGTTCGAACCGGTAGTGACCCCCCCCGGTTTTCCGGAAGGGGGGGGGGGGAGGGGTTCGAACCGGTAGTGACCCCCCCCAGTTTTCTGCCAGCAGCGGTAGAACACGCTCTTTCAAACCTGCCGATTCTCAGAGATTTCGAGTTATCCCGATCCGATGTTGTCCCGATCTTCGCGTCGTTTTCACATTATTGGAGCTCACCTTCACCAGCGGCAGACGACCCGATGTCCTCCGCGGGCAAAGGGAGCCCGCCGGGCACCGAGCACCACGACGAGCACAGCCCGCGCCTGCGGCCAGCGGCCCTCAGACAGGACGGCTCGGGCCAGGAGTCCTCGAGCCGGCGCGGATGTATTGACGCTCGCCCTGCGAAAGGAGCGGGGAGGAGGTGCATCGACGAGCGTGTCCCACGACTCGCAGAGCAGCTGCTGGCAGATGGCCCGGCTCCGCCGAGAAGGATCCACGACCCATTACATCGAGGCGAACGTGTTTCTGTTTTCGGACGTTCGCGAGTAGACGGGACCGAACTCTCTCTCTCTCTCTCTCTCTCTCTCTCTCTCTCTCTCTCTCTCTATATATATATATATATACACCGACGCTTTGGTCGGCCCTGCACTGAAAAAGGAAGACGGATCCTGGTGTATGTGGGATCCTGGCGTATAAGTCTTTCCCGTGTTCCCCCAGGAGAACGGAAAAAAGGAGAACCCACACTGCCCCGACGCCGTTCGAAGCTTTTCGAGCGGGAAGCGCGGCCGACGAAAAAGGCCGAGCATGGGCCGACGAGGCAAGGATGCAAGGGTAAGTACCCCTGGGACGGTTCTTTCTATGCGGGCCGACTGCAATGGAACGCGCCCCGCGAGTGAAACAACGGGCAAAAACGTAAACTTTCCAGAGCTCCTTTGAGGCTCTCCTGAATCGGCGCAGGAGACTCCCTCCCTGGCGCGCACCTCCCCCTCCCCCCTCCCCTCCCCCTCCACCTCCCCTTCCCCCTCCCCCTCCCCCTCCTCCTCCCCCTCCCCCTCCCCTCCCCCTCCCCCTCCCCCTCCCCCTCCTCCTCCTCCTCCTCCTCCTCCTCCTCCTCCTCCTCCTCCTCCTCTTCCTCCTCAGCCCCCTCCTCCAAGAAATCCGCGTGGAGCTCCGAAACTTGATGTGTGTGTGTGTGTGTGCCTCCTTCGTTCCTTCTCGGAGAATCGGGATCTGGCCGTGGGCAGTACAAAGATCACCCATAAACGAGCCAAGCGCGAACGAAATCCTGTCGATCTGGGGAGGGCCCCAGGGAAATGGAGCCTCGATCTGCCATCGCTCGCCTGCAAGTGCAGGCGAACCATCCGCTCGAAAAGAAAAGCGGTCAAAGTAGAAGGGGCGGAGGAGGGCGAGGAGCAGGGAAGAAGGAATAATAAGTAAAACCAAGCAACCACTGGGGAGGACGGTTCCTCATCTGTGGCACTTCCGAGAAGATGAGGCGCGGCTTCGGGCTGACATAGCTGTTTCCAAATGCCCCAACACCCTCGACCTACGATGCCTCCAGGGGGCGGGGGACAGCTCGGCTTACATGCTAGAACCTGTGGCATTGGCTGCGAAGCTAGTTCCAAAGGCGAGGGATCTCAAGCCCTGACGCGGAAACTCCCTGCACACGTACCCGGAGACCTGAATAAACATTCGCAAACTGCAAACCCGGGCCCCCGCCCGCTGGGTTCCGTCCGGCCAGCCCTGCCCGCCCAGCCCTGGTTAAACCTGGGCAGTCCGGGTCCTACCGCCCGTCAGTGTGATGGCCCAGGTTTGCTGGAAGTCTCTACGGCCATTCCAGTCGTCTCCTCCTCGGTATCGTGGGCAATCTGCGGATGGGCGGGTGCGACTATGGCTCGACAATTGGGGATGGTCTTGGGCACATGACACCCTTTTGGACGCCCGAGATCGGTACGGAAAGAATGGGTACAATACCCAACAACGAATGTTGTCCGAAACCAACAGCGGCCGCTGTTGGGCAGGCGGCCTTCTGTCCCGAATGGACACAGGCCGCGGCGGCGTGGACAGCGAGTCCTGTTCAAAATGAACCAGATTCGCTGTTGGGCATTGTACCCATTCTTTCCGTACCCATTTCGGGCGTCCAGAACCCTGTCGCCACGCAGGCAACGACCTCGAAGCCCTGGCATGGGAACTTCACCGTCTGTAGTTAGCCCACCCCTTGGTGCAACTGACTGGACAACGCTACGCTGCGCATGCCGGGGTCGCCTACGCCTTTTCCCATCCTCCTGCTCCTCCTCTTCTTCCTCCTCCTCCTCCTCCTCCTCCTCCTCCTCTTCCCCCTCGTCCCCCTCCTCCTCCTCCTCCTCCTCCTCCTCCTCCTCCTCCTCCTCCCATCCCTCCTCCTCCTCCTCATCCTCCTCCTCCTCCTCAGCAGGATGTGAATCCGTCCCGGGTCTCATCCTGCTTGAGCTGGCCAGCGGCGTCGGCTTGGAGGGAAGGGCGACAGCGATCTGCACAGGCGGTGATGCCGAGCACGCCTCCAGATTCGTGAGCTTGCTGAGGAGGTCCTCCATCGAGGGGCCCTGCTCGATCGCGGGCGGCGGCGACCCGCAGCGCGGCCCTCCTTCCTGCTCCTCCCTGACATGCCCACTGCTGCCGCCTTCCCTCCCCGCTGGATTACGGCCCACCTCCTCCTGCTGCCCCTCCTCTGAGGGGCAGCAACGACAGGGTGGACAGGCTCAGGGGGAAATGCCGACACAGACCCGGCGATGCCCCCGATAGCACATGCGCGCGCTCCCGGGCAGGGTGGGCGATGGAGCCCCCATCGTCGACGAACGGACGCGTAGGGGTCGAGGCATCCCCCGCTGAGCTGCTACATGAAACCCGCCATCGTTGCCCCTCCCCCCATCCCCCTGCTCGTGACGCTGCCGCTGTCCTTCCTCCTCCTGGCTGCCAGCGCCGACGATGCAGCGACTGCTGACCCTGCTGCTGCTGCTGCTCCTGCACCTGGTCCTCCTCAGCCCACAAAGAGACCCCTCCGAATGGACAAGTAGGAGGAGCCTGGGCACTGCGGGGGGATGATGATGATGATGATGATGATGATGATGATGATGATGATGATGATGATGATGATGATGGTGATGAAGATGAGGATGATGAGGATGATGATGATGATGATGATGATGATGATGATGATGATGATAAGGATGATGGTGATGATGATGATGATAATGATGATAATGATGATGATAATGATGATGATGATGATGATGATGATGCCGATGGTGATGATGATGAGTATGCTGATGATGGTGATGAGGATGATCAGATTGATGAGGATGAGGATGAGGATGAGGATGAGGATTATGATGATGATGATGATGATGATGATGATGATGATGATGATGATGAGTTTGACGAGGAGGAGGATGAGGAGGAGGAGGAGGAGGAGGAGGAGGAGAAGGAGAAGGAGAAGGAGAAGGAGAAGGAGGATGAGTAGGAGGAGGAACGGGAGAAGACGAGGCGGAGGGGACGGATGAGCAGGAGGAGCGGGGCATCCGCAGAATGTCTCATCCGAAGCAGCAGCAATCAAGAAGCGAGCTGCCGAAAAAAACACCACACAATAGGCGCGCCGTGACAACAGCCGGCTGCCGATGAAGGCCCCACCAGAGATCACAGACTTACCAAAATAACGACGAGGGCGCGGAGCCCCCATTTTCTGGGTGACAAAGATGCAGGCCATATGTCTATCTATACCAACTGCATCGTTTAGTTTCGGGGCTTCCTCACCCAGACCCCCGAGGCGCAGTGGATGTGGATAAAAATCTAGCCCCGAGTGCCTCGGCCTCGTGGCGCCCCTCCCCACAGAAAGTCCGAGACGAAGCGACTACATGGACCAACGTTTGCCCGCGCGCGCGCCACGAGGCAAACGGCACGCTCCGTGGCGTGGCAGCGCCGTATGGAGCGCAGGCCGGCGACCCGCGGACGAGCTGCGACCTGCAGGCCGCCAACGCACCGCGCCGCCCAACAGCTGCGCGCCGCGGGGGCCCTTCGGGCGAGCCCGCCGGGTCGCGGAGGCCGTCGGGCGGCGAAGGGCGCCCTCTGCAGCGCCATTGCGCCGAAGAGAACGACCGGGGAGCAGCGGCGGATCGCGGGAGAAGCCTGACTGCCATGCGTGCCCACGCTCCGTGCCTTCGGACGCCCGAAATTGGTACGGAAAGACTGGGTACAATGCCCAACAACGAATGTTGTCCCGAACCAACACGGCCGCGGTTGGGCAGGCGGCCTCCTGTCTCGAATGGACACAGGCCGCGGCGGCGCAGACAGCGAGTCCTGCTCAAAGTGAACAGGAGCTGCTGTTGGGCATTGTACCCATTCTTTCCGTACCCATTTCGGGCGTCCAGAGTGTCGGAAACCTTGGTCGGTGGCTTGTGGCAGCCCGTCGCAGGAGCGGCAGATATCCCCAGCACCGCGCGGCCACCTGGGCAGTGCGGCGGCCGGCCTCCCCGAAGAGAGAGACCCATCGGGGAAGCGCGGCCGACGGAGGCGGTCTGGGGGGCAGCACGCTGTCGGTCTTCAGCGGCGTGAGACACAGTACGTCGGGCAGCAGCAGCGGGGGCGCGGCAGAGCTTCTCGCACACAAGACCTGCGAGAGGAGGAGGAGGGCGACGGCTGGGGCAAGAACGCAGCACGGATGGTACCACCAGCGCCGGGACCCACAACGGTGACCCTTCGCAAGGGGAAGTTGGTGTTCAGCAGATGGGACAAGCCATGTGGGGTGCAACGCATTGAATGCAAGCTGTGGCGTGCAACCCATCCATGGGTCGGAGCCCTATCGGTGAAATTCGTATCTTCTGACCACCACTGGGGATATGCTCGAAAGACCACGCCACCTCAATGCAAATACGAAATACTTGGAGGGACCGCACGTCCTGATGACACACTCTTCGACGCGAAGACCACCACATGTGCATCTCCTGTCCTGGCATGTGGTGTCTTGCGTGTCTGAGTGTGAGAAGCTCAGCATGTGGCGAGCGAGCGCTCCTTGGCGGGCCCCCCCTTGGGGTGCCCAAGTGCTATGCCTGCGCAGTCGGGCTGACACCGCGACTCTGAAAGGGGAGGAACACGATGGGCCACATGTTCCACCACCACACCATTCTGTAGGACGGGGGAGACGGGAGGATGGGGAGGTCCTCCTCCTCCTCCTCCTCCTCCTCCTTCTGCTCCTCCTCTTCCTCCTCCTCCTCCTCCTCCTCATTCTCCTCCTCCTCCCTCTCCTGCCCATGGTAAGAAGTGGTGGGAAATCGGCCTATCAAAATCGAGGAGGGGGGGCCAAGGCAGCGTTTCGGTGCAGGCGTCCCCACGGCCTGGCCGCGAGCGGGCAAAGCGTAACACCCCTCTGCGGCTCCCCCCCCCTTGCGGTGCCCGAGTGCTGCACTCGGCGCATGGCAGTGCTCGTGGGGCTCAGGAAAGACAGGAATCGGGGGTGCCAGCACCAGCGTCGCGCTCGAACTACCTTATGTTGCATCCTCGGGGGGGCCTTGTCTGTCCCCTCTCGGCCCTATCCGCGTCGCATCGACGTCGAATCCATGTCGGGCTCGTCGGCTCCGTGTCGGATCCGTGTCGAATCCGCGTCGAATCCACGCCAGCTCCGCGTCGAGTCCACACCGAGCCCACGTTGGGAACAAGAAGCGAAGCGAATTTTGGGGACAGGCGAGTTCCCCCGAAGATGCAACGTAAGAATGGGGGGTACCAAAACCAACGTCTCACTCGAACCATCCCCACACTCTTGCCGCGACCGAGCAAGAATTTCCCTGCCTGGCGGCTCTTCCGTACGGATGGCCACATGCTTTGCCTGCTATGTCGCGGCGAGCATAAACTAGGCGGCCCTCGAACAAAAAGGATGGACGCGAACCGCTCAAACGTTCTCAATCTCTGGGCACGAACAGGGAAATACAACACGCCCAGGCGACCCCACCCTTGCGGAACCCACATGCCGCGCCTGCTACGTCGTGGTGATCGCGGGTGGTCTCCGAAAAGAAACGAGCCGGAGGTGCAGGACGAGCGCCGTCGCTCGAGACATCCCCCCATACTCCGGCCGCGAACCAAGAAGGGTGTCCCTCAATGGCGGCTCCTCCTTGCGGTGTCCATGCGCCAGCACCCCATGCATCGTGGTGAGCACGGGGCTCTGGATGGAAAGGGGTCGGAGGTGCACAACAAGCGCCCCGCTCGAGGCAGCCCCACAGTGTGGCCGCGAAGGGGCACATGCCCCCCCCCCCTGGCGGCTCCTCCTCGGGGTGCGCAGGTGCCCCGCATGCTGCATCGCAGTGGTCGTGCCAGCGGCCCGACTCTGAGAGAACGGGAGCCATTGAGTCTGAGTGCGAATGGAACTGGGTTCTGACGGGTACACATGCGATTGAATCGGAATTCGACCGAGCCTCCGTATGAGGGGGTGGGAGTGTCAGTGCTCGGAAGGTCGTTTGATTGAGCGTGAGTGTGTAGAAGTATGGGTGGACCTACTTCTGACCAAGCTGAGCTTAGCATGCGTGTGCAAAGGGAAGGAGGCGGGTGAGAAGGCCGAGGCGTCGCACGAAAGAAAATAATCCAAACTCCTCACGCGACGGCATCGTCGGACCACGCATGTGGAAACTTTCAGGCACTAGTTCGTCCCACTGGCGGCAACGTACAAGCATATCGCCGAATGTGGTAAATGAAGGCTGCTCTGAAAATGATGGTGCCCATGATCCTGGCGTAAGGCCCACCCCGGCACTAAGGCCCTCGGTGGAGGCCCCATTCGGGGCCATGAAACGCGTGAAAGGAATGCCGAATTGACGACGGCGCCACCGTGCGAGCATTGCTGCTGGGGCTTTCGGTGGGGCGTTCGGTGGAACTCCCTATGGGGCCACGAAGTGTGTGAACTGTGTAGATTTACGGGCGCAGCCCGTAATTTCATTTCGGGAAATAGACAGAACTGACTGACAGAACTGAGCTGAATCACCAAAGCCGTTGGATGGCAGGGTTTGGCCAGGCAGTGAGGATATGTCGCTGGCAGTTTGCAGTCAGAGGGGTTGACGAGATCTCGCTGGCACTTATAGGCCACGGGGTGAAGCTAGCTGGCATGTTTGAGCGAGGGGTGTGAGGATCTTTCGTTGGCAGTTTAGAGCCAGGGGGTCAGGATATGTCGCTGCAGAGCTGACGCGGTGTGTGCGTGTGTGTGCATGTGAGGATATTTCCCTGGCAGTTTTAGGCCAGGCGATTGAGGATATTTCCTTGTCAGTTTTAGGCCAGGGGGTGAAGATATTTAGCTTTCAGTTTTGGGTGAGGGGCGGTGGGGATATTTGGCTGGCAATTGCTGGCCAAGGGGTTGAGGATATTTCGATGGCAGTTGTTGGCCACGGGGTTGACCATATGTCGCTCGCAGTTTTAAATTTGAAGGGTGCGGGTATTTAGCTGGCAGTGTTCGGCCAGGGGCTGTGCGGATATATGCCGCATGCGGTTTTGATTGAGGTCTCTGCGTATATGTCGCTGGCAGGTTTAGGCTGGGGGATGAGGATATTTTGCTGACAGGTTTGGGCGAAGGGCGGTAAGGATATTGCGCTGGCAGTTTTAAGCGAAGGGTTGTGGGGATATCTCGATGGCATGTTTAAGCCAGGGGGTGAGGATCTTCCGCTGGGAGCTTTAAGCGAGGGGTGTGAAGATATTGCGCTGGCAGTTGTAAGTCAGGGTGTCGAGGATATCTCGCTGGCAGATTTCGGCCAGGGGTGCGGATATTTAGCTGGCAGCTTTAGGCCAAAAACGGTGGAAACTTCGCGGGCAATTTTTTGGCCCGGGGGGTTAGGATATTCAGCTGGCAGGTTTCAACCGGAGTGTGTGTGTGTGTGGATATTTCGCTGGCAGCTTTTAGGCCGTGGGGTCCTGATGTTTCGCTGAGGATTGTGAGGGTATTTCGCTGACAGTTTGAAGCCATGGGGGTCTGGCGGTTGTAGGCCAGGGGTGACGATATTTCGCTCGCAGTTTGCAGGGGTGGGTGTGGGTAGATTTCGCACGTCAGGGGTTGAGGGGATTTCGCCGGCACTTTGAGGCCAGGCGGTTGAAGATAGTTCGCCGGCAGTGTTAAGTTTCGGGGGTGCGGATATCTAGCTGGCAGTTTTATGACAGGGGCGGTGAGGATATTTCGCTGGCAATTTCAAGCGAGGGGTGTGAGGATATTTCACTCGTAGTTTCAAGCAAAAGGGGTGACGATATATCACTTGAAGGCCGGGCGATAGAGAGATTTCACAAGCGTAACCAAACAGCACCATGTGCCACGCACCGGGCGACGGTTGGGGATGGGTGAGAGGGATGGCGGAGGATGGGGACGACGAAATAGCGGCGAAAGGGGGGGTCGGAGGTAGGGACTGAGAGGAGTCTTTGTCGGTGCGGGTAGCACAGCGCCACGCGATGCAGTGTTGGGTCTTGCCCTGGATGGCCCAGCCGAAGGCTATGCATGCAGCGCGGTGCTGCGCCCGTATATATGCTCGCCCCTTGGCGTGGGGCTGGCGGGGGCCAAGGGGCGAGCTGTCTGGTGACCAAGTGGGGGCGACGGCGCCATGCGGATCCTGCCAATGTGTGGTTCGGTGGAGCTCTCTTTTGGGCCACGGGACGCGTGAGGATGTGTGCGACGTTGGTGCGGCGCCGCCATGCGGCTCCTGCCGCTGGGGCGTTCGGTGGAGCGCCCGATGGGGCCACGAAGCCGCGTAATTGGTGTGCCGTAATGAAACGGAAACGCCATGCCGCAATGCGGACCCTGGCGTGCGGGTCGGGGCAAGGATCGCCCCACACAATGTTGTTCGTTTTCGTTTTTGTTTCGGTTTCCCTCGTTTTGTCTTCAATCCGCCTTTGCTGCGAAACGACATCGAAACGAAACTGGCCCACGAACTCGTCAGAACACCGTGTAGGTCGAGCCGTGGGTCGTAGTTGGGTATCCTTATGGGGCCACGGAGCGTACGTGGGCTGTGCTGAAGTGAAGCAGCACCGCCACGCGTACCCTGCCGGGCATTCGGGCCTTACTTGGGCCTCCCTGAAGGGCCGCGGAGCATGTGAGCACTGACCCGAAATGAGGCGGCATCACCATTCGGACCGTGGCCCTCGGGCCTCAGCGTTGGCTCCTCACGGGGCCAGGCAACGTGTGAGGGGTGCAGTGGAATGAGGCGGCGCCGCCATGCGTACCCTTGCATCTAATGCCTGGCTGAAGCTCCCTGTGGAGCCACGAAGTGTCTGAGAGGGGGTGCCATAATGAGGATGCTGGAAACAGAAGCTGGAGAGATAGAGAGAGAGGGAGGAGGGTGAGGAGTGAAGCGGGGCGGTGATTCACCAAAACGAAAGCCAAATATCACATGAAACTGATGATGCCGACAACGCTAGTGACCATGGCGGCGAGGACGATGTCGATGTCGATGCCGATGCGGATGTGAATGATGATGATGATGTTGATGATGATGGTGCTGACGATGATGCTGCTGATGAGGACGAGGATGGCAACGATGAAGATGATGAGTATGATGCTCGTAATGCTGATGATGTGACGACGATGATTATGCTGATGATGCTGCTACTGATGATGATGTGCTACTGATGATGGTGTCGATGTCGATGGTGATGGTGATTATGATAATGATGGGGATAACGAAGATGACGATACTGATGACGATGATGATGACGACGAAACTGATGTTGAGGAGGATTATGATACTCGTGATCATGAACGGAATTCTGATGATGTGAAACCAATGGTGACGATGAAGCTGCTCCTGCTACTGATGATGAGGTTGATGATGGTGATGCTGATGATGATGATGAGGATGATGATGATGTCGATGCCGATGATGATGATGATGATGATGATGATGATGATGATGATGATGATGACGCTGATGATGATAGGTGGTGGTGGTACTGATGATGTTGATAATGATGAGGACATGCGGAAGCAGAGGCAGAGGTGGGGGAGGGAGAAGCGAAAAGAGGAAAGGAGTGACGCGGGAGGCTGACTCGTCAACAGGGTTACCCTACACAACAGGACAATTGGGTAAAACGCCAACCTAAGAACACAAATTCTGCAAACCAAGTGCCCTTGACTGCTTGTCCGGGTCTGGAAGATATGAGTGGCCTGAGTTAAAATGGCCTGACATGCCTGAATTAAAACGACGATGGCCCTCCCTGCCAGCGACGCGCGCGCAGGAGCAAGAAAAGGAGGGGAAAGAAAGGCACTGCCCGACTGCGCCGTTCCACTTCGCGGAGCCAGCGCCCGACATGCGAGGAGCTTGGAAAACAACGGTCCCAGCCTTGCAACTTTCTCCAGCACCAGAGCACCCCTCGTTTCTACGTCTGCGGGCATGCCGCGGGCTGCCGCCAGAAGCGAGTGGATCAACCCTTTGACACGTCGACGGCGAGGTCCTTTGTACGAAAGCGGATCCCAGCCTGAGATCGATCATGCTGCAAGCTCGCCCATGGCCTACCAAGCCCAGCACGATGGACGCGGAGAGCAGGGAGAAGAAGGGGGGTGAGTGTGGGAAAGTAGAAAGGATAAGGGAACACAAACACACACACACCTATACACATATATGTAAGTATGTACTCATGTGCATGTATATATATATATATATGTATGAATGGGTGTGCGTACACATCGGCGCACGTATGTTATGACACACGCACGTATATCTCTATCCACGTAGTTATATGTGTCACACTTCTACATATATCATTGTATAGGTGTATAGATGTATGTATGTGTATATATGAATGTGTGTGCGTACACGTAGGCGCACGTATGTTATGACACACGCACGTATATCTCGACATATGTAGTTATGTGTGTGCATGTTTAATATAAATAACTATACATATATATATATATATATACATATCGCACTCCGCACGCACCAAGACCCCCCCTTTCTCCAGAGTGTATATGGATTCATGTATGATTCGTACGGTATTCGGACTTGATTGTGAGGCTCCTGGTTGGAAGACTTTTTGGGATCAAGTCTGGCGCGATGTTCACCCCCTGCAAGTGCAGCCGTTTCCACCAGCCCCAGAAATTGGTTGGGCCGTGGTGGTCGCCGATACACAGCACTCGATACTCAACAGGCTCCCTCCCCAAGCTGAACTTGAAAATAACATTCTACTCAACTCCCTCCGTCTCCAACACACCATCCAGTACTCAACACCCTCCGTCCCCAACACAGCACACGATACTCAACAGGCTCCCACCCCAAACTGAACTTGAAAATAACCTTTTACTCATCTCCCCCCGTCTCCAACACACCATCCAGTACTCAACACCCTCCGTCCCAAACACAGCACTCGATACTCAACAGGCTCCCTCCCCAAGCTGAACTTCAAAATAACATTCTACTCAACTCCCTCCGTCTCCAACACACCATCCAGTACTCAACACCCTCCGTCCCCAACACAGCACACGATACTCAACAGGCTCCCTCCAAAAGCTGAACTTGAACATAACCTTTTACTCAACTCCCTCCGTCCCCAACACACTATCCAGTACTCACCACCCTCCGTCCCAAACACAGCACCCGATACTCAACAGGCTCCCTCCCCAAGCTGAACTTGAAAATAACATTCTACTCAACTCCCTCCGTCTCCAACACACCATCCAGTAGTCAACACCCTCCGTCCCCAACACTGCACCCGATACTCAACAGGCCCCTTCCCCAAGCTGAACTTGAAAATCACATTCTACTCAACTCCCTCCGTCTCCAACACACAATCCAGTACTCAACACCCGCCGTCTCCAGCAAAGCACACGATACTCAACAGTTGTCTTCTCCATCACGCAACCAACCATTATGTGGCACTTCTTCCTTTACGGTTGCCGCGCCCGCCTTCCGCCCCCCTTTTCTCTTGGCATCTTCCAAGAGAAAAGGAGGGCTCATGGTGCGTGCGGAGACCTACATATATACATATGTATATAGATATCCAGATCAAAAAGGAGAGCAATAGAAAACGACCGAGAGCACAACGGCAACATAAAAAACAATCCAGGCCAACTGCAACTCCACTGAACCTTGGGCCCGGACATCTTGCAGGCTCCCCCCCGTGGTGGCCGCCTCGTCCGACGCCTCGAGGGCAGCGAGGGCCCTCTCCCTGGCCTCTGTGTCAGAATCCTACAGCGCGCAGTGACGGGAGGGGGCAAACAACAGAGATGAGGAGCAGCAGGCGGGAAAGAGAGGAAGAGGACGAGGCGCAGGAGGAGAGTGAGGTGGGAGAGGTGGGAGGCGGGAGCCGGGATGCAGGACGACGGGATCGAGGTGCGCAGACGAGCGGGAGGATGGGGCAGGAGGTTTGAGGAGCCGGGCAGCCCGACAAGCCGTGGCCTCTCGCGCTTGCCCCCCTCCAGGGCCCTCCTCTCGCGCCCGCTGGCGCTGCAGCGGGCGCCGCGCCGCGACTCCAGGGAGGCCGCGGGAACCCGCCCCGCAGAGGCCAGCCTGGACCGGGCCGACGCTCGCCATCGCTCGGACGTCCATTCCCTGTGTTTTTTTCGGTTTCGTGCGTGGTGTTTTCACCAAATGATCAAGGATGCTCCTCGATGGTTCTCGCCGAGAAAAAAAAAGCACACGTCCGAACGATGCCAAGGACGTGAGACTCGAGGGTGTGTCCAAAACACGGCCCGGGGGATCGATCTTCTGGGACCGGGGCAGACGGTCGACATGCACAGATTTGGGGCGGGGGGGGGGGCACAAATTTACCGACATCCGGTGCCTGCTGGCGTCGGCGGGGACTGGCAGCCAAGTCGGGCGCGAAAAGGATCAGACAGAGGGAAGACCAGCTACTACCAGCCCGCGTCCTGGAGTCTAAAACCCCACGCCGGGCTATTCGCCAACATGGCAGCGCGGGGCGCCGCGGCTCTTATTCGGACACCGGGACGGGCCGACAAAAAAACGCGGGCCAGGCAAGGACAAAACCCCCCGTCAGAAAAATGACGGGACCGGATATGATGTTTTGGTGCGAACTCCAGCTTCGAACACCTCACGAACAGCGGGCCGTCAAAAAATCCATGCCCAGACGGTCCACAGGCGGCAGCAAACCCGAGTCCTCCGTTTTCCAGACCAGGGCAGGCAGGCATCAGCCAGAGACCTTCGACCCGCGGCAGTCCACGCACTGCGCAGCAAGTAACTGCGCAGTAAGTAACTGCGCAGTTACTTACTGCGCACTACGGAACATCGCCACACTGCGCAGCAAGTAACTGCGACGACCAGAGGGAGGGGACAGTGGCACGGCCGAGAGCGGATGGGCCTGCGCAGGTGGCCGCTCGGCATCAGGGCGGCAACGGCTGACCGAACACCCATGGGAGTCACCCGAATTGACAGCCACCAGCTTGAGCATGGTGATTTTGTTCGCTGATCTCGGTTTGTCCTCTCTCTTCCCTCGCCTCTTCCTTCTCCCTTTGTCTCCTTCTCCCCGGCCACCCTGCGTCGATCGCAGGGTGCGCGCTCTGCGCCTGGCAATAAACCAACTGCTGCACGCCAAAGCACCCAAACCTGTCAAGCCCTCAAGCCACGCCAAGAAAGTTCGGGGCTCCGAGGGGGATCATACAGATTTTCCCCAGCAGGCCGCAGCATAAGGCTTCCTTGGGAGTGCACGGATGTATCGAGCGACTGAAATAAATCAGAACGTGCGGATGTACCATATACGGATGCACTCGCGGGCCCACACGGGGGCCACCCGCACATGGGCGGGGCCTCTCTGGAGACCTGGGAGGCGCACGGCACCTCCACGGAGCTTACACTATACCATTTTTCGGCGCGTTCGTCGCCCCTGGGGGGGGCGACGACACATAGTACTAGTAGATTGGGGGAACGCCGAGATCACTCTGATGGAGAGGATCGACCCATCCTTGCAGCAGTCCGCGGAGGCCCCCTGAGCTGGCAAAGGTGGGCCCGTCGCAGGACACTCGCCAGGCCAGCCCGTACACTGACTCCACCCCTATGATTTGTACTACGAATGCCCACTCAAGATTGACATCAATGCCCGAATCGAAAAGAACACCGGATTTCATGATAAAGCGTGGGCGGGTCAAGTTTGGAGGGCGCGCCGCTGGATACCCCCCCCTCCCCACCTTTCCCAGGGCCGTCGTCGGAGGAGCCCCCCCCCACCGTAACCCTCTAACCCTCTAGCCCTAACTTGAGACCTAACCCGAGCCCTAATCCTACCATCCTAACGCGAACCCCCATAAACCCTGTAACCCCCGAACCCGAGCCCTAATCGCTTAACCCTAGCCGTAACCCTAACCCGACCCCCTTACCATAGCCACCTACCCCTAACCCCTACCGTAACACCCTAACCCTGACGCTACCACCCTAATCCGGATCCCCTAAACCTAACCCTATACCTCTAACCCCAACCGTAACACCCTAACCCGAATCCCCTAACCCGAACCCTAACCCCGACCACCCTCCCCCAAAACAACAGTTATCTTGGCGAAGGACCCAACCATATGAAGTTGTGGGTACCGCAATTGTGAATATCTTCTTCGGTGAAACTCCCTATGGGGCCACGAAGCGCTGCGCTGGGCGAGGGGGGAACGCATGCGGGCGGTAGCACTGGGGCCGTCGGTGAAGCTCCTTATGAGGCCACGAAGCGCTGCACTGGGTGGGTGAAAATACCAGTTTTAGGCGTGTGGGACGCATGCGGGCGGTCCCATTGGGGGCTTCGGTGGAGCCCCCATGGGGCCGCGAAGCGTTGTAATGGGCATGTGAAAATGCCAAATTCAGTGTGGGGGACGCATGCGGGCGGCCCCACTGGGGGCTTCGGTGGGGCTCCCGATGGGGCCCCGGAGCGCTGCCTTGGGTCGGTGAAAATGCCAAGTTGAGCGTGGGGGGCGCATGCAGGCGGTCCCACTGGAGGCTTCGGTGGAGCCCCCTGTGGGGGACGCGTGCGGGCGGTCCCACTGGGGGCTTCGGTGGAGCTCCCTATGGGGCCACGAGGCGCTGTAGTCGGCGGGTGAAACTGCCAAATTCGGCATGGTGGACGCACGCAGGCGGTCCCACTGGAGGCTTCGGTGGAGTTCCCTATGGGGCCACGGAGCGTTGCATTGGGTGGGTGACAATGCCAAATCGGATGTGGGTGGCGCATGCGGACGGTCCCACTGGGGGCTTCGGTGGGGCTCCCTATGGGGCCACGAAGCGCTGTACTGGGTGGGTGAGAATGCAAAGTTGGGTGTGGGGGACGCATGCGGGCGGTCCCACTGGGGTCTTCGGTGGAGCTCCCTATTGGGCAACGGAGCGCTGTACTGGGTGTGTGAAAATGCCAAATTGGATGTGGGGGACGCATGTGGGCGGTACCACTGGGGGCTTCGGTGGAGCTCCCTATGGGGTCGCGAAGCGCTGTATTGGGCAGGTGAACGTGCCAAATTGAGCGAGGGGGACGCATGCGAGCGGTCCCATTAGGGGCTTCAGTGGGGCTCCCTATAGGGCCCCGAAGCGCTGTACTGGGTTGGTGACAATACAAAATTGAATGTGGGGGGGCGCATGTGGGCGGTACGATTGGGGGCTGCGGTGGAGCTCTTTATGGGGCCACGAAACGCTGTGCTTGGTAGGTGGCAATGCCCAATTGAGCGTGGAGGACGCACGCGGGCGGCCACACTGGGGGTCGATGGAGCTCCCTATGGGGCCACAAAGCGGTGTACTGGGTGGGTGACAATGCCAAATTGGGTGTGGGGGACGCATGCGGGCGCCATTGGGGGCTGCGGTGGAGCTCCCGATGGGGCCACGAAAAAATGTACTGGGTGGGTGACAATGCAACATTGTGTGTGTGTGTGTGTGTGTGTGTGTGTGTGTGTGTGTGTGTGTGTGTGTGTGTGTGTGACGCACGCGGGCGGTCCCACTGGGGGCGTCGCTGGGGCTCCCTATTGGGCCACGAAGCGTTGTACTGGGCGGGTGAAAATACCAAATTGGATGTGTGGGACGCATGTGGGCGGTCCCACTGGGGGCTTCGGTGGGGTTCCCGATGGTGTCACGAAACGCTGTAATGGGTGGATGAAAATGCCAAATTGAGCATGGGGGACGCATGCGGGCGGTCCCATTGGGGGCTGCGGTGGAGCTCCTTATGGGGCCACGAAGCTGTTTATTTGGTGGGCGAAGCTGCCAAATGGTGTGTGGGCGACGCACACGGGCGGTCCCATTAGGGGCTTCGGTGGAGCTCCCTATGGGGCCACGAAGCGCTGTACTGAACGGGTGAAACTGGCAAAGTGGGTGTGGGGGACGCATGCGGGCGGTCCCACTGGGGGCTTCGGTGGAGCTCCCTATGGGGCCACGAAGCGCTGTACTGGGTGGGTGAACATGCCAGATTGGGTGTGGGGGAAGCGTGCGGGTGGTCCCACTTGGGGGTTCGGTGGAGCTCCCTATGGGGCCACGGAACGGGTGAGGGTTGTGCCGAAATTGGTAATGGGGGCGCATGCGGGCGGTGGAGAGGAGGAGGGGAAAGAGGAGGAGATAAGGAAGGGAACGCGGGGACCGTCTCTTCAAAACGAGGACACAACACCACAGGATGGTTGGGGAAAAAATAGCCTGGCGAAGGACCCAACCATATGCAGTTGAGAGTACCGCAATTGTCAATATCTTCTTCGGTGGAACTCCCTATGGGGCCACGAAACGTGTGAGGGGTGCGCCGAAATGGGTGTGCGGGACGCATGCGGACGGCAGCACTGGGGCCTTCGGTGGAGCTCCCTGTGGGGCCACGAAACGTGTGAGGGGTGTGCCGAAATGGGTGTGCGGGACGCATGCGGACGGCAGCCATGGGGCCTTCGGTGGAGCTCCCTATGGGGCCACGAAACGTGTGAGGGGTGTGCCGAAATGGGTGTGCGGGACGCATGCGGACGGCAGCACTGGGGCCTTCGGTGGAGCTCCCTATGGGGCCACGAAACGTGTGAGGGGTGTGCCGAAATGGGTGTGCGGGACGCATGCGGACGGCAGCACTGGGGCCTTCGGTGGAGCTCCCTGTGGGGCCACGAAACGTGTGAGGGGTGTGCCGAAATGGGTGTGCGGGACGCATGCGGACGGCAGCACTGGGGCCTTCGGTGGAGCTCCCTGTGGGGCCACGAAACGTGTGAGGGGTGTGCCGAAATGGGTGTGCGGGACGCATGCGGACGGCAGCCATGGGGCCTTCGGTGGAGCTCCCTATGGGGCCACGAAACGTGTGAGGGGTGTGCCGAAATGGGTGTGCGGGACGCATGCGGACGGCAGCACTGGGGCCTTCGGTGGAGCTCCCTATGGGGCCACGAAACGTGTGAGGGGTGTGCCGAAATGGGTGTGCGGGACGCATTGGGGCGGACGGCAGCCTTTCGGTGGAGCTCCCTATGGGGCCACGAAACGTGTGAGGGGTGTGCCGAAATGGGTGTGCGGGACGCATGCGGACGGCAGCCATGGGGCCTTCGGTGGAGCTCCCTGTGGGGCCACGAAACGTGTGAGGGGTGTGCCGAAATGGGTGTGCGGGACGCATGCGGACGGCAGCACTGGGGCCTTCGGTGGAGCTCCCTGTGGGGCCACGAAACGTGTGAGGGGTGTGCCGAAATGGGTGTGCGGGACGCATGCGGACGGCAGCCATGGGGCCTTCGGTGGAGCTCCCTATGGGGCCACGAAACGTGTGAGGGGTGTGCCGAAATGGGTGTGCGGGACGCATGCGGACGGCAGCACTGGGGCCTTCGGTGGAGCTCCCTGTGGGGCCACGAAACGTGTGAGGGGTGTGCCGAAATGGGTGTGCGGGACGCATGCGGACGGCAGCCTGGGGCCTTCGGTGGAGCTCCCTGTGGGGCCACGAAACGTGTGAGGGGTGTGCCGAAATGGGTGTGACGCATGAGTGGGTGTGCACGAAAATGGGCTTGCGGGACGCATGCGGACGGCAGCCATGGGGCCTTCGGTGGAGCTCCCTATGGGGCCACGAAACGTGTGAGGGGTGTGCCGAAATGGGTGTGCGGGACGCATGCGGACGGCAGCACTGGGGCCTTCGGTGGAGCTCCCTATGGGGCCACGAAACGTGTGAGGGGTGTGCCGAAATGGGTGTGCGGGACGCATGCGGACGGCAGCCATGGGGCCTTCGGTGGAGCTCCCTATGGGGCCACGAAACGTGTGAGGGGTGTGCCGAAATGGGTGTGCGGGACGCATGCGGACGGCAGCACTGGGGCCTTCGGTGGAGCTCCCTATGGGGCCACGAAACGTGTGAGGGGTGTGCCGAAATGGGTGTGCGGGACGCATGCGGACGGCAGCCATGGGGCCTTCGGTGGAGCTCCCTATGGGGCTACGAAGCGCTGTACTGGGCGGGTGAAACGCAGGGAAGAGGGGGAGGAGGGAGGCGGAGGAGGAGGAAGGAGGAAGGAAGGAGACGCGGGGCACCGTCTCTTCAAAACGAGGACCCAACACCACAGGATGGTTGGGAACTACCACCCTAACCCCAACCCCCAAGCCCCCAAACCCCATAGCCGTAACACCCAAACCCTAAACCTACCACCCGGACCCTAACCCCCTGACAATATCCCTATCACCCGAACGTGAACCCTACCACCCGAACAATAACACCCTAACCCGAACCCCAACCCGCACAACACACATCGAACCCCCTAACCCTAACACTAAAACCTAACCCTGACCCACACCCCCTAACCCTCACCCTCATACCCTAACCCTGACCCTCCTGACCCTAACTCTAACCCTACCCCCTAACCCGACCACCCTAACCCTAACCCCCTAGCCATACATCTAACACCTTACCCCTGACCCTAATCCTAACCCTACCACCCTATCCCTAAACCACGACCCCTTATCCCTAACCTGAACACCCTATCATCCTAACCCGAACCTCCTAACCCTAACCCTAACATCCTACCCCTAACGCCCTAACCCTAACACCCTGACCGTAACACTCTCGCGCCAACCCAACCACCCTAACCCCGGCCTCAACTCAATAAACCTAACTCCCGAACCCCATAACCCTAAGCCGAATCTCTAACCCCAAACCCCACACCCATACCCCTGCTCCTAACCATCACCCTAACTAGAACCCTGACCCTAAGCTCTAGTTACCCCCTAACCTCTGACCCCTACCCCCTAACCCCGACCCCTAACCCTACCCCCTAACACCCAATAACCCTCACCCTAACCCTACATCGAAACCTACCACCTTAACCCGAAACACCTCCTACCCTGACCCTAACCCTAACACCCTGGCCCTAATCTCTGACCCAGACCTTAAGCACAACCCGACCCCTATTCCATCAATTGCAACGATAACCCCCGTAACCCCCTAACACCCGAACCCACATCCTAACCGCCTAACCGTCACCCTAACACTAACCCTCACCCGAACCCTTTCGAACACTAACCCCCTACCCCTCACCCTAACCCTAACACCCCAATCCGAAACCCATTCCTCTAACCCTAACACCCTAACCCGAACCCTACCACCCTACCCCATACCCCCCCAACCTGAACACTAACCCGACCACCCGAGTCCTCAACCCTTAACCCTAAACATAAAGCCCTCACACCCTAATCCGAGTCCTAACCCCACTCCCCCCTCCCCAAACCTACAACCCTAACCCTACCCCCAAGTCCTAACCCGAACATTCGAATCCTAACCCTACCACCCTAACCCTACCCCCCCTGAAAGTATCCCCATCACCCGAATCTGAAGCCTGCCACCCAAACCTTAACCCCCTAACCCGAACCCTAACCCGAAAACTCCAATCCAAGCCCCCTAACCCTGACCCTAACCCCCTAACCTTAACCCTAATAGCCCTAATCAGCTGACCCCTGGAGAACGGACCCCTCCTCCTCCTCCTCCTCCTCCTCCTCCTCCTCCTTCTGGACGCCATTGGTCTGGAGAAGTCCTGCATGTGATTCCCCGACAGCTTGGCCTTCAACTTCTGCGCTTTCCTCTTGGCAAGGCCTAGGATCGACTCAGCCTTGCCGGCGTCCTCTGCGGCTGCGGAAGGCGAGGGGGAGGAACATAAGGACGAGATGGGGAAGGGGCGGAGGTGGAGGGTGCTCTAGAAGATGAAGGGGACAAGGGGGATAAGGGAGGCGGCAAGAGGGTGATGCAGAGTCTCCTGGGGCGTGAGGTATCATCCCATTGCCTCACGCAGCTCGTCAACAAGCATATCTACCGGCCCACGTGCCAACGTCTTCAGCAACGCAAAATTCCTCCGCGCATCAAGTTATACACCGCGCGCATCCTTCTTCACGGTTGCGTAGGCGTCCATGACAATGGCCAGGAGCATGTTGATCATAAGAATGAATATGAATGTCATGTAAATGAAGAACCTCCCTGTCCAACAGTGCGGCGCTCCCCCACGTCCCTCCCCCGCCCTCGATGACTACCCCTCGTTCCGTCTTCTCATACTGCGGCCTCCACCTTCCTGACCCTTCCCCCTCGTCCCCGCATCATCCCCCTATCCCCCTCTCTCCCTACTGCTCTTCCCCACCGCCCGCTTCTTTCTCCTGTCATTTCCCCCCCTGCGTGCTTTGTCTTACTCCCCCTGTCTATATATATATATATATATAACTAAAAAGCAAGAGACACACATTCGCACATGTAGCCGCGCCCATTTGTTCCCGGCGCGCCCAAGCGGACGACGGCCGACACCACGACACGCCCACTAATCACGCCCTGCGTGCCTCGCCCGGGGGAGGCGCCAGTGCCACCGCGGCAAGCCGCCATGACATACCCTTCGCGTCCGAAGCGGCGGCTGCCCTGGTGCCCGCAGCGCCCTCACCAAGATGCAACGCCGCGCGTCCGAACAGACGGCGTGGCGACATGCACACATGTAGACACATTGGCATGCATAACATAGATATGTATGTGTATGCATTCCTATATATACAAACGCATACGTGTATGTACATTTCAACTTATACACATGCTCGCTATATATATATATATATGTACATGCATACATATATATATATATATATATGTATATCTATACATATATATGTACATATATATATATACACGCTCGCGCTGACTAGCCTACCTTTCGCCTTCGCTCCAATCTCGGATCTTCAATATCATCCTCCTGCTCCTCCTCATCGCCCTTTTCTCCTCCAAATCCCCTGCACCTCCGTCTCCTCCTCCCCCGCTTCCACCCCCAAAATGTCTTCCCTAATTGCTCTCCGCCTCCTGGCCCTCCTCCTCAACCTCCTACGCCGCCCTTTCGCTCGCCCCCAACCCGTGTACTTCTCTCCTTCTCCATATAATCATCCGTGCAATGTGCTTAATGCGTTCCACAGAGTGTGCTCACATATGGTGCGTTCTACCACATGTCCAACTGCAGGATCGCATGCGTTCCCCGCTGTTCCTCCTCCTCCGCCTCCTGCTCCCCCTCCTCCTACTACTACTCAACATCACCCTATTGCTTCCCCCTCCTCTCTCGATCCAGCCGAATGACCTAATGGGCGCCCTGCCACCTCGGCCACCGTTTCGCGGATATGCCTCGCTCGTTCTCTGCTTCCTCCCCAATGTCCTCGCCCGCATGCTCCGTGGCGATCGTTGTGATGCAATCTGCATGGCGAAGCTTGCAAGGTGCAACGCTTGTGTGCAACGGGGGGGCAGGGCCATGCGGAGGGTGATGTAGAACCAAAGGAGGAGAGGGAAGAGGAGGCGGAGGAGGAGGAGGAGGAGGAGGAAGGGGGGCTGTGCAGGAGAAGGACGCGGAGGCGGAGGAGGAGGACGGGGAGGAAGGGGAAACCGCCGCAAGGACAAAGGACGAACACACGGGAAACACGAGAAAATCAGGAACGCAATTGTGTTCCCACAAGGAATCAATGAACACAACTTCAAACACCTAGGCGCGGAGGAGGGACCACATACATGTGCCCTCCACGCCCCCAGAAGGAGGAGGAGGAATAGGAGGAGGAGGATAATGAGGAGGACGGGAGGCGGTGGAGGAGGACGCGGGGGCGGAGGAAGGGGGTGAGAAGGTGGACGAGGAGGAGGATGCGGAAAAGGAAAGACAGTTGATGAGGAGGACGCGGGGACGGAGGAGGCGGACAGGGAGGTGGATGAGGAGGAGGAGGAAGAGGTAGAGGAGAACGAGGAGGAGGAGAAGAACCGACTGGAAGGTCCATCACCTGTCATTCTCTGTAGGAGTCGCAGGGGTGGGGGGCGCGGGAACGAAGAACGAACAAGAGGGACAAACAATAAACACATAACACAACGTTTTTACATGGAACAAAATAAACCTCCGCCTCGGAGGGCGGAAGGAGGAACAAGGAACAACACCCACCTCCTTTTTCCAAGGACGAGGAGGGACGGTGGAGGAGGAGGCAAATAAGGAGGAGGGCGGGAGGAGGAGGAGGAGAAGGAGGAGAGGAGGAGGAAGAGGACAGGGAGGAGGCAGAGCAGGAGTTGGAGGGGGAGGGGGAGATGGAGGAGGAAGAGGGAGAGGAAGGAGGAGGCAACTGGTCGGTCCGCCATTTGCTGTTTTCTGTGGGAGGCGCAAAGGAGGCCGCCACAGAAACGAAGCACGATCAACAGGAACAAGAGGAACACAAATACAAAACCTGTGTCTTCACATGGAACACAAGAAAAACTTCAACATCCAAACGCAGAGAACGAAACAAGAGGAACATCCGTTCCTCCCTTCACCTCCGGATGCGTGGACAGCAAGTTTCGTATGTTTCCTCCTCCGCGCTGGGATGTTGAATGTTTCTTCATTTTCCACGTGATAACATTGATTGTTTCATACGTTTCTTTGTTCATCCTCTGTTTCGCTCTTCGTTCCTGCGGCGACCTCCTCTTCCTCCTCCTCCTCCTCCGCCTCGGCGTCCTCCTCATCCACCGCATCCCGTCCTTCCTTCCTGTCCTCCTCCTGCTACGCCTCCTCCTCCACATCCGGCTCCCCCTCCTCCCCATGCTCCTTTTCCCCACTGGGAAAAAGCAGGAGGGATGTGGTCCTCTGTTTCCTCCTCCCCGCCCTCGGAGGCGGAGGTGCGCTCTTATTTTTTCCGTGTGAAAGCGCAATCGTTTTCCTATGTGTCTCGTTGTTCCACTTTCTCGTTCTTCGTTCCTGCGGCGGCCGCCCCTTCCTCTTCCTCTTCCCCATCTTCCCCCTCCGCCTCCTCCTCCTCCTCCACCTCCTCCTCCTGCTCCCCTCCCAGTGGGAGGGAGGAACTGACTTTTTTGTGTTGTTCCTCCTCCCCGCCCTCGCAGGCGGAGCTCTTCCCTTTTCATGTGGGAACACAGGTTGTTGTCTATGCTTCCTTTTCTGTATTTTTTCCTGGCCTCCGCTCGGGACGGCGAGCGGGGATCTCTGCCGAATAGACATGAGAGGAGAGAAGGCGGTGAAGGGAGCAGACAGATAATGATACCGACACAAGCGCCCGCGGCTAACAACAAAAACAGACGACGGAACGACAAACCGACCGCAGAAAAAGTATGATACTGGGATGCGGCAATGCGTATACATATATGTATATATAGATATACATATATACATAGGCAAACATGCATATGAAAATGTCGCCGCGCCCTTTTTATCGACTCGCCCGTGTGAACGAAGCTGACACCACGGAAAACCGACTGCAACCCCTTCGTCCCCCGCCCAAACACAGGACACCGACACCACGGCACACCCCACGGCAAGCCCTGCGCCCGAAGCAATGTCTACCACCCTCCCTCAAGACGGAATCCGCGCGTGGGTACCAACGGTACAGCGACAGATCAGTTCGCTGCAAGCATTCACGCAGGTGTAGCCCATCCTTGCACTCATGTATACTTGTACACACATGTGGCAGGTCCCACAAGGCCAAACTCCTTACCCTAAACAATGCCGTCAACGCCATCGTCGTCGTCGCCGTCGTCGTCGTCGTCGTCGCCGCCATCGTCGCCGTCGTCGTCGTAGTGGCAATAGCTGAGAAGTGAAATCGCGGCGGGAGTGACCGCGGTAATGGTAAGATCTACCGTTCTAGTCGTATCAAAACCAGAAGCGTAGCACATGAAATTGCTGTATCAATATGAAAGATGAACGGCAGTAACAGTCGTCATCTCACAAACAAGAGTTGTTGTTGCAGTAGAAGTGGCAATGGCTGCTCGGAACAGCTCCGATAAACACACCGAAAACAAGCGCGACGAGAAAAGACCAGCGAGAAACCGACTCAATTCAGTTTCCCTTTGCATGGCTCAAGCATGCGCAGCGTTTGCCGACGTTCGCGAGCAGGCTCAGCGAGACGCCCCGCTCCTAAAGGCGCCCCCAGAAGCGCTGCCGCTGCCCCAAGCAAACAAACTCGCAAACTAAAAAACATACAAAGTTAACAGACACCCGCTCAAAAACAAACCAGACCACCCGTCAAAGCAATCCAGACCTTCCAAAGGTAGACCAACCCCGCCCGAAAGTCAGCCAGACCATCAAGCCCCGCCCGAAAATAAACCAGACCGCCCACCAAAGCAAGCCGGACTACCCAAAAATATACGAAATTCCGCACAACCGCAAGCCAGACCACCTGTCGCAGCAAACCGAACCACCCCAACGTAGACCAAACCCCGCCCAAGACGCAAGCAAGACCATCCGTCAAAGCAAACAAAACCCCCAAACTAATTAATAGACCCCGACCAAAAGTAATCCGGACTATCCGTCGGGACATGCCCGATCGCCCAAAACATATATACCCGAACCCGCGAAACAAAAAAAGATACAACTCATCAAGGCAAGCCATGCCAACAGCGTAAGACAAAAGCCGAACCCACAAAACCTATACCAGAACACACCCGAAGCCACGACAGACCATCCGCCAAAGCAACCCAGACCACCATAAAATATACCACCAAAAAGTATACCAGGCCACCCGTCGCAGAGGACCTGACCGCCCAAATTATAACCAGACGCAGCCCCCCAAAAAACTAGACAACACATCAAAGCAGGTCAGACCGTCCAAGAGTAAGTATATCTGACCCCGCACAACAGTAAACCCGACCTCCCACTAAAGCAAGTCAAACCACCCAGACGTAGAACTGACCATGCCCAACGGTATACCAAACCATCCGAAAATAAACCAAACCCGGTTCAAAGGTAAGCCAGACCGACCGTCAAAGCAATCCAAACCGCCCGAAAGTAGACCCGACCCTGCCCAAAAGTAAGCCAGACCACCCAACACAGCAAGCCAGACCACCCAAAAGTAGACCAACCACGTAAAAGTAAACCAGACCCCGTCAAAAAGTAAGCCATCAAAGCAGGCCAGACCACCCAAAAGTAGACCAAACCACCTACAAGTAGATCAGAGCCTTCCACAAGTACGCCAGACCACCCATCACAGCATGCCAAACCCCAAAAGATATACCAAACCGCGCCCGGAAAGCAGGCCAGACCCCGTCCAACAGTACCACACCTCGCCCAAATGCAGACCAGACCGCCCAAAAGTAGACCAAACTCCACCTTAAAATAAACCAGACCACTCATCACAGCAGGCCAAGCCGCGAAAAAGTAAAGCAGACCCGGCGCAAAAGTAAACCATCAGACGGACCGAAAGAAGACCAAATCCCGCCAACAAATAACCAGACCACCCGACATTAGACCAGACCCCGCCCAAAAGTAGATCAGACTCAACCCGAGATTAGACAAGGCCCCGTCCACAAGTAGACCAGACCCCGCCCAAAAGTAAACCAGGCCACCCAAAAGTAGACCAAACCCCGCCCAAAAATGCCTCATTATGCCAGAATCAAAAATGTCCCCCGGGTTTGCACAGACTTGAGGCTTCTCTCGGCTGAAGACGACCCAAGAGGCCAACAAGTGGACCCCGCGACGGCGCAAGAGGGCCTCCATGCAGTCGGAGATACAGCCAAAACAACTTGAATTTGGGAGACGTAAGACTCGGGATCGGGGAACTCGGGTTGGCCTGGCGAGGCTGTTCAGAAAATGACGAGACCGAGTTTGAAATTTGACGCGGGCCTTCGCTGCAAATATCCCCCGGCAACTGGACGTCAACAAACCTGAGTTACGTCGAACTCGAGTCTCACGTTTCTGTGACTGAAGACATCCCAAGACGGCCCCTGGACAATCCGAAACGCGGAGAGCCCGAGACACACCTAAGAGAGCCTTAAGCGGCATGTTGCCACATCTTATTTCGATTACCTGGTTCGAGAACTGGCAGTGAAAAATGTAACTCACACTTGTGGGCGCAACGTGAACTATCTGACAAAATTGTGGTTGCACAATGTTGCATCATTTGTTGATCGACCTGTCCCAGGATCGGCCTAACGGAACAAGCTCGGAAATCGAATGCTTGTTGGTAGCTCGGTTTCAGAGTCGGCACGGCCCAAATTGATTCTTCGGTTACAGCGCCGGCCCAAATATGATTCCTGGGTTCCAGGGGATGCCCGGGGTTGATTCCTCGGTTCCAGAAGTAGCCGGGTTTTGATTCCTTTGCCAAGCCTCCCACCAGGGCCATGGCCCCAGTCATCCCCCTCGTCTTCCTCCTGCCCCTCTTCATGATCGTGGTAACCCACTGCATCCAGGCAGCAAGCGGGACAATTCGAACGCGGCTTTTACAAGATGACGAACACAACTCCAACAAGATGTGCTCCAAACCATCCTCTCCTGGTCCTCGTTCCCCGTTTGTCCTGGCCGCAAGTGACCAGTATGAGACGCCCTCACTTCAAAACGATGGAACTGCACAACCACAAGGGGATCACGCGGACACGAGCCGGCACGCAACGATGTACTTCTCAAGCTTCAAACAGCCGAGAGAATGCCAGGGCAAGCATGCACCGCACATTCGCTCGTGTGAGGCGAATGTTTCAACACTCTTGCATCAGCTCGCTGGTCGGCCCTGGTCGACCAAAGCGTGGCGTTGATCGGCGTGACGTAATACATCGACATGAAGTCAAAATCACCCATGAGCGCCTCGTTCAAGGAAACTCGCAACACAGAACGGGCCAACTCAGAGGGCTGGAATCAGATGAGTCTTCTGCAAGTGCTGGATATCAAATAAGGGGGACGAAATCCATACACCGAGGCTTTTTCAGGCCTTGCGCTGAAATTTGCACAGGTAAGCGGATTCTGATGTATACGCAAACCTGGTGCATACATGATTCGTTGCTTCCTCGGGAAATGGGGGGACAACGTATACACCACACCGCCCCGACGTCGTCCCCGACCCTCAAAAAGTCTGGGGATTGAAAAACAGCACGCCACTGGTAATGTACATGCTCCAGCTTCCGAAGGTGAGTCTTCTACTCGTGCTGAATATATAAAATAGCGGACATGGCAACAAAGAGGGTATCGGGCCGTGCTCAGTATCCCCAGTTTTGGCTCGACAGCACATCGCAGAGCATGCCTCACATTTTTTTCTTCAGGGAACCCGCAAGGCGCCACATGTCTCCAGTCCGACCACCATTCACACGCAACCTCAGCCAGCCTGCCAGGCCCGAAGCGAAACTCTGGGCACGCACAGTGAGGGAAAAACGTCTTATTCAAACCCACATAAGACGAAAGGGTATTGGCGCCGTGTGGGCAACTATCCCAAGTGGCTTCACACAACGGCACAAGAGAGGATCACTCCCCGTGCATGCTCGCAGAGCGTGCCTCACAAGAGGGCCCTGACCAGAGTTTCTTGACGCTGCTACAAGCAACGTAGCGGTTCAAGGCCGTCTATCGACAGCGTTGACGCGGCACGCAGCGACATCTCATACATGATATGCTACTGATTTAGCTTGAAGGTCATATTGTCACCCAGAGACAGCCGTGCTGAGGGTTGCAGCCTGGAGAGGAGTAGTCAGACAGCTCCAGAGTAGCTGCAGCTGTCAATATTGCTGACCATCAGGAGGAGGATGACTGCGGATGCTTGTGTGGCAGGGTGAGGGTGTGAGCCACCAGTGGCAGACATGTCAACAGCCTGCACAGAGGGCGCAAACACTGCAAGTCACAAGACGCGCCCCCCACCTCGTGATCCCGCTTGCCCCAACCCTTGCCTCTGATCTCGACGCTCTTGCTCGATGAAACACCACTGCATCAGCCGCCCTGGACCACGTACTACATGCTGCCAACTCTCGTCCACGCCCGCCCTCCCCTCCGTGTACACCTCCTCCTCCTCCTCCTCCTCCTCCCCGTCCTGCCTTCCTCGTCCTGCCTTCCTCGTCCTGCCTGAATCCCTAGCTATTTGCCGCGCCCCTGTCCCTCCTTGGTGCGTTACTGCTCCCGATCCCCTCTGTTCCGCCCCAATAGCGACCCAAAGCGACCCCCCACTCGACCCATCACACGGCACATCGATGCAAACGTTTTCCGTTTCGATTGGAGCATTCATGTCAACGAGGCGTGTACGTCGCCAATGTGGACAGACGGAACGGATCGAGATGGACAATTACTTACGTCTGGCGTGGAGTGGCGCAACCCTGTCTAGTCCAGCGTAGTCCGCCTCAAAATAATGGAATGCTGCACTCCGCTTCCTTTGTGACGATCGCTACGTGACTCACCCAATCCTCCTCCGTACCCGCCATGAGACAGATAGACACTAGATAAACGGACAGACGGGAACAAACGGCACCAAAGCAAACTAAACCGAGCTAGCCCAGATTCCACTGGACTTAGCCGCATTCAACTGGGCTGTACCTAGCGAGTGCAGACGCATCCAAGCCAAACCGAACTACACTGGATTTACACGTACTATGCCAGACGCAGCGCGAAACTGGACCCGACTAGACCGCACTATCGCACACTAGCCCAAGCGCGAGCCACACTAGAACTGCAGCGCGAAGTGCCCAACATTTGCCACCTGTTTGTTCGACTCACGAACTCGGTCGAACTGTCTTGCCTGTTTCCGTTTCCTACTCTGGCTTGCAATCCGCATGCTGATCCGGCCCCCACTATTCTTCCTGTTCCTCCCCCCCGTCAGCCTCCTCTCACTTCACCTCCTCCTTCCTCTCACCCTCTGCTCTCATTCCGCCTCCCTCACCCCACGCAGTTCCAACAGGAAAGAAAACATCCCAATATATGTTGCTCACACTCGAGGTCCGCGGTGACGACCATGAGAAACGGATGCGTTGCCATCCAACCTCCGACTACTTCCACAATTTGATGGAGGGAAGCTCTGTGAAGTCGACGGGTTAGAAACCTGTTAGGGAGCAGTCGGCCTCCCCGTGGTATTCGTGACTCGGTTTGTGTGGAATGTGTGGAAGCGCGCTGGAATTTCATGTGGCTTCGTAGGCACAAGTCTGGCCATAACAACGCGCCCGAAACGAACACCAAAGCCGTGTCACATGAGAAGAAGCGTGAAAGCTTCATACTAGACGGGTTCATGCGTGTATTGTGGCACTTGTTTCTGTCCAAGCCAATCGTGCAAATGAAACGCACGAGAGCGATGACAATGACAATGCTGATGCGTTTCGAAAAATGCAATAGAACTCCTGACGGTGCCCGCAAGAGACACCAACAATCGCAAGACATTGCTTTCACTTTTGGGGGCCATATTTCTGTTATACATAATTGGCCCAGGCGGACGGTCTCGCGGCTATGATGCCACCATCGCCGCCCCTTTGCCGCCTCGTCGCAGCCCGTCGTTTGGGCCTGACGGTCGGTCTGGCAGCTATGTTGCCGCCGTCACCGCCCCGTCGCCGCCTTGTCCCTTTGGGCATTTGCAATTTACATATGACTCTGCCACACCGCTCGTTCGAAATATGGACGAGTCACATCCCAACGGGGCCCGGCTTCGACCCCCCACCATCTTTTGCGTTCGAAGCTAAGCATGCGCCCTCGTTGATCAACAATCAGCAGATTTCTATATTTTTGTTGCGCAAAGAGGAACGAAAAGCACACGCGCGTTCGTCGCGCGCGCATGCCGCAATCTGTCAAAACCCGTAGGGTTCGTGGATCTTTCGAAACCGCATGTCCCGATCAAACATCGAAAACCATATGGTTTTGCAACAACGGCTCTCAAAACGAAAAATGCCGTCTTCGCGTTATTTGTTTTGTCGTGTATATAATTTCACGGATTACCAAAACAAAAAAACAGTTGTTTTCAGCATGTGAACTAAGTGCGACAAACTTGCCTCTCGCGCGCGCGTGGCGGAATGCATCGAGCACCCTTGCACGCCTGCTGGGGGCCATGGTCCCTGGCAAATCAAACCATGCGGGCCATTCGCGCCCGTCGGCCGCGCGCGCATGTCGAAATCCTTCCAGACCCTTCACCGCCGACGCGTGGCATCCGTCATCGTCGTCGGCGTGATCACCATCGGTGCCATCCTTTGCCTTGCCGTCATCATCGTCATCGTCGCCACTAGCACCGCTGCAATCATCATCGTACCTGCCGTTGTCGACGTCGCCATGTCACCGCGCCCGCCCGAATCACCGACTCACACCGAAGTGCCCCCGTGTCAGCGCGGCCCGCGAGACGAGCTGGGACATTCCCCGCGGTCGGCGCCACCGCGGCCGCGTCGGTCGCGCCAGACTAGCTGGCCGCATTGCGCGCGAGCCTGCGCGCGATGGCGCGGTCGCAGCGATGCGCCAGCCAACGTCGAACAATTACCACATCATGGGTTTTGCAAACCAACATGCGGGTGGGTGGGTGGGATGGTTGCGCGAGCAGTGGAGTTGACAACTCACTCAGAACAATAGTGAATGTCACCGCGTAGAACCACCGAAATTGCCCCGCATATACTGACAGCCTATATCGCGTTTCACGGGATGCACCATATTTGTATTCCTCATTGAAAGAGAATTCGGATGTACCCCCCTCCAGGGTGATCGGTTCACCGTGGGGGCGTGCACTTCCCATCGTTCGTACTCATATGAAAACATACCATCCCAACCAACCCGGTCCAGACTCCCCCCTCCTCCCGGGCCAGAGAAATAACGCGCGCACCTTATCATCATTTGTCACAAAAACCCATTTCAACATAAAACGAAGTGCACACGCGCGGGTCGTCGCGCGCGAAGTCCCAGAATCCTTTACAGACCTTGGGCGCCGGATGGAGTTCGAAATCGACGGCCCCGAATACATATACACAACTGCTTCGCAACAGGAGCAAAATCAATGGCACTCGCGTCTTCACAAGTTCTGACAACAAAAAAGTGTGCCCCACGTCTTTTACACAGCGTGCGACCAAGCGCACCCCTCGTCCATGAATGCTGAAATCGTTCGATAGCCTTGTGCGCGTGCTGTCGCAAGAATCTTTTCGCAACAAATTGGGGCGAAGTGCTACGAGCGCGTCGTCGAGCGCGCATCCCGAAAAGCCTTTGCAAACCTTCAGTTTCGTAGAAGGTGCGAAATCGAGTGTCCCGAACGAATAATATAAACACCATGGGGTTCGCAACCGGAATTGTCATACAAGGTCTACGCTTGCGCCCTTGCGGCTTCACAAGAAAACGCCAAGTTGTTATGTCAGCATGCTCCCGACTTGTTACCAAACATGCCTCTCGCGCGCGCGTCGGCAGCGCGCGCACGTCGATTTGTTTCAAATCCTTCCTCGCCGTCGCGGCGACACTATCATCGCCATCGGCGTGCTCTGCATCGGCGCCTCCATTGCTCTTGCCATCGTCATTGTCATCATCGTCGCCAGCATCGCGGCTGTCATCATCGTGTCTGCTTTTGTCGACGTTGCCGTGGCACCACGCCCGCCCGAAGCACCGACTCGCATTGATGTGCCCGCGCGTCCAGGCGGCCTGCGACACGCGCTGGGACGTTCGCAGCGTGGGACGTTCCCAACGGCCACTGCCACTACGGCCGCGTCGGTCACGCTCGACTTGCTGGCCGTTTTGCGTGCGAGCCTGCGCGCGCGAGCGCGACCGCAGCGGCGCACCAGCTAGCGCCAAGTCGCCATCGCAATCGCCGCCACAGGTGTTGTGTACACCAAGTTGCAGGCGTGCGCGAGCACAACAGGTGGTCACATGCGAGGCCGTCAACATCCATTCTACCGCAAGGATTGCACCACATAGTCTGCACCAGATCGGCTGCACAGCACCGGAGATGATGCTCCGGGGGGGAGGGTGGGAGTAGGAAGGGCCCTCTGACTCGTTCAACCTGGCTAACTTGGCCTCCGCCCCCCTCCTCCTCCTCCTCCTCCTCCTCCTCCTCCTCCTCCTCCTCCTCCTCCTCCTCCTCCTCCTCCTCCTCCTCCTCCGCCTTCTCCTCCTTCTCCTCCTCCTCCTCCTCCACCGCCTCCTCCTCCTCCTCTTCCTCCTCCTCGTCCTCCGTAGCCAATCTGGCGCAGGCTTTCCCGTAGGCTTCCCGCTCCTGGACTCTTCCTCGGCGTACCCTGCGACCCCGGATTCACGGGGCAATGCAGCGGGCGTGAGGGAGGGGGGAACTGGGCGTTGGGCCCAACGGGAATGGCTACGGGGTGCGGCCCGAGAGCATGGCGGCCTTCGGAGTCCAGGTGGCGCGACATCGCCGCGCTCGGCGCCACCGCCACCCGTCGCGCGGCGAAACAGCGGCGCCGAGCCGCCCGCGAGGCTGCCATCCAGCCCCTCACGCAGGCTCGCGGCGAGCCTGGCTCCTGGAAGAACCGCGAGCTGGCGGCGAGGCTGGCGCTGGTGCTGTTTGCCCAGGGACGCGCTGTCCCTGGCTCCCGCCGCCACCGCCGGAACGCCGCGTGGCACGCTCAGCGAGTCCTGCCAGGCGGATTCGCCCACGCGTCCGCGGCGGACATCGCGTGGGCCTCTGCAGGCCCCAGGCTCGGCAAAGGGGGCGCTGAGCCCACCTCGTGCGGAACCACGCCGACCGTCAGCGTGCAGCTGGACGCGGAGGCCCAGCGCGTGGACGCCTCGCCCCTCGCCGCTGGCGCACCCCAGGAGGCTGCCGCTGACCCCCCCCTATCCTGGCGAGGACCTTCCTCGTCCTGGTAGCTGGAGGCGACGCCGATGTTCGTCCAGATGCTGGCGTACTTTTTCGTGGTGCTGCTGGTGCTGGCCGTCGTCCCCACGACGGCTCGGACGCGCAACAGATGGGCGAGAACGACCCGTGCTCCCACGCGCCCGACGTGCCCAACCCTATCGCGCCGTTCGTGTGGACGCTCCTCCGCTTCGAAAAGAGCATGCTGGCCCTCGGCGACGAAGGCGAGATCATGCTGACGGTCGCGACGGCGACCGTGTGAGCGGCTTTCGGCGGAGAAGACGGGCTCCACGCGGAGACGGACAATAGTTTCGCAGGTGCCAGCACGTCGGAAGCGCCTCCTCGGGGCGCAGCTTTTCCCCAGGCTGCTCTTCACCACCCTGATGCTCCCGACGTGCGCCTGGACTGCACGGCGGATGTGGCTCGCGCCAAGGAGGTGGGCGACGCCTCCTTGCCCAAGCGCCCGCCCCTCCGCTTCGACGCCTCTCCCTTCGTCCCCAGCCTCGGCATCGCCTCCGCGAACGACGCCCCCGACGGGGAGGCGGAGGAGAGTGGCTCTCGGGCGCTTGCGGGAGATACAGTACTCATCTTCCTCGCAGCGTGCGGCAGGCGCCCGAGTGGTGCTGCAGGGGGCGAGGTAGGAGTTCTTTCTCGGCGAGTCCCTGCAGCAGCTCTGAGGTAGTAGCAGCCGACGAGCTAGACCCATCACAGGACGGCTTCGATTCTGGCTCGTCGGACTGCCCTTCATGTCAGGGTCGGCGGCGCTGTGCTCGCGTGAGGTGCCCTTACCGATCCGCGCTCCTGCGAGCGCCTCCATCTTCAACTTGATCGCGGTGAGGCTCGCTCCTGCAATTGTGGTCGCGCCTGGGTGCGCTCTCCGATATGCTCCGATATGCTCCTCCTCCTCCTCCTCCTCCTCCTCCTCCTCCTCCTCCTCGTCCTCCTCCTCCTCCTCCTCCTCCTCCTCGTCCTCCTCCTCATCGTCCTCCTCGTCCTCCTCCTCCTCCTCATCCTCCCTCTCCTCCTCCACCCTGCCTCCTCCTCCTCCTCCTCCTCCTCCTCCTCCATCCCTCCTGCCCCTCTCTCTTCCTCCACGTCCTGTTTTGGGAGGGCGTGCGCCCGGAAGCCAGTCGTGACCGCCAGGGACCACCAGGACCACTCCTTGAGCGACGGGCCAAACAGAAAGCGGGCGCCGATGATGAAGTTGAAGAAGACCTCCCCAGGGAGAGAACTGCGTGGTTTTGAGAATCCAAATCCGATTTCGTTGATCTGGGATCAATCGTGTGTTTGGCAGTCGGGTTCGGCCTCCAACAACACAAAGATATTTGATTTGAATAAAATTCGGATTTCAAGAACACGCAGCTTCCTCAATTGAAGGGGTGCGGGCTCTCCTCACGTCCTTGTCCTCTTCCTGGGCACTCGGGGCGGGAATCTGGCCGCGGTCGAGGACAAGTCCCGAAGTCACTTCGCTTCACGGAGCAGAAAGCGGAGGGAGGAGTAGAGACGCTTCGGCCATCCGATCATAGCAAGTGCAAGGTGAAAGAAGCGAGGGGTGAGAAGGATGGGGGAAGAAGGAAAGATAAGGAGGAGGAAGGAATATGGCGAGGGAGAAGCGGTGAATGGGACGGGTGGAATGAGCCCGAGCAGGTGCAGCAGGCGGGGCAAGCGGGCAAATGGGCGGCCGGTGGGCGGGGTCGAACATGAATCCGGAGGACGGTAGCGATGAGAAGCAGGAGGAGCAGGAAGGAGCAGGCGAAAGGGGAGAAGGAGGATGAGGAGGAGGAGGAGCAGGAGGAAGAGGAGGAGCTGGGACGGGGCAGGGGGAGGGGGGAGGCAGGTGAAGGGGGGGGGGGTGCTCTGACTGGAGCGGCGTCGTTGCACATGGGCGGCACGGGGCGGCGAGGCGAGCGCGGGCGAGCAGTGGGAGCCCCAGAGATTCCCCGTGGGGACCGACCAGAAGAGGAGGTGCCCCATCGCCGAGATACAGTCGGCCCGCATCCTAAGGCCTATGAATTGTAAAAATGGAGATGCAACCTTCGGGGGGCCTCGGGGAGGCCGGGGGGGGTGCGCTCGGGAGGGTGCCTGGGAGGGTGCCCCGGGGGGTTGTCGGGGAGGTTGTCGGGGCGCGTTTCTGGGGGTGCCACTGGGTCCCTCGTCGTAAGCCAGGCCAGGCGCGGCACCCTTAGGTTTTTTTCATTCGGCAGCATCGAGGGCCGTAGCACGACGTTTGAGCTTGCCTGCCGATGAAACTCGCCATCGCTCGGACGTCCATTTTTTGTGTTTTTTGTTCGGTTTAGTGCGTGGTTTTTTCGCCAAATGGTCAAGGGATGTTCCTCGATGGCCCTCGCCGAAAGAAAACTGCACACGTCCGAGCGATGCCAAGGAAAAGGGGATCTTGACACCCAGCTCCACGCGCAGTCGCCGCGCGGTCACGCCCCCCAGGAGCGTGGCCCCTGGAACGGTTTGCGCACCGCATCCTGCGGATGCGCGAGGCGGGGCGCGGCCAGCGGAGGTGGCCAGGGACGGGCCGAGGAGGCACGGGCGGGTATACCCTGGGGGAGGGTTGCCCACCCTTGCTCTGCGGGTCGACTGCAGGGGTATATGGGCAGGATCAGGAGACGGAGCGCCGTGGACTGACGAGGAGTCCGGCATTGGGTCGAGCATGCCCTCCTACAGGCGGGCTCTGGAGGACGACCCAAACTCAGTGAAGACACTCCAAACTTATCAAGCCATACTAGAATAGGGGAATGAAGAATGACATAAGCATGAAAACTCGGAGGTCCGCGCGGATTTCTCGGATCCGCGCTGGACCCCCCTCCCTGGCGCGCCGAGCACGCCAGGAGCGGCGCCGGAGGCGCCGCCACGGGGGTCCAGCGCGGATCCGAGAAATCCGCGCGGACCTCCGCGTTGTTATTTTTGTGTCATTCTTCGTTCCCCTATAGAAGAATCGCCCCCCAGAACAATTTGTTGGTGTACCATGCTCTGAAGACTTCTCCTGCAGAGGGACATGCCCGCCTTGAGTCGAGCACCGCGCTGCTTGAGCGGGAGGCGCCGAGCAGCGGCAAAGCTCCTGGGCAGCACCTGCGAAAGGGGCCCAAGGACACACACACACACACATAGATACACTTATATATCTGTATATATATATATATATATATAAAGATGTTCCATGTTTGGGGTGTTTTCGTCCTCCCCCCCACTTCCCGTATTTTGCAATATTTTCTGGGGAATCGACGATTCATTTTGGACGCCCGAAATGGGTACGGAAAAAATGGGTACATTGCCTAACAACAAATGTTGTCCCGAACCAACTGCGGCCGCTGTTGGACAGGTGGCCGAATGGACACAGGCCGCGGCGGCGTGGACAGCGAACCCTGTTCAAAATGAACAGGATCCGCTGTTGGGCATTGTACCCATTCTTTCCGTACCCATTTCGGGCGTCCAGGATAGATACACACAAATTAAAAAAGACAGATTTTCCTATATATTTTTGGGGGTGTTCGTCCTCCCCCCCACTTCCCATATCTTCCAATATATTTCCTGGGGCATCGACGACTCCGTGTGTCGGTGTGTCTCTTCCCCTCCGGAGCCCCCGGAGGTCTCTTGGACCGAGTTGCGCCGTGACGCTGCGGTTGCTGGATCCCCGAGACAGGCGGCGGGCTGCACCCCAGCCATCCCTGAACGGGAGGCGCTGCTAAAGGGGCTGTGCCCGCGGCCCCACCCGATGCCTCCCCGGGCCACCACCACCACCACCACCTGCAAGGGGCAGGCCCGCCCCGCGCGGGGGCCCCAGCGCTGCCCGGTCGGTCCCCCCCGGGGGCAGGCGCGACGATCCGTCGGGGGCGGCGCGCGACGCAGCTGCTGGCGCCGCGGCCTCTCCGCGAGCGGCGGAGGGGCCACCCGCTCGCCACCACAACGCGGGCTCGACCTTCTGGCCAGAAGGGTCCTCCTCGTCCTCCTCCTCCTCCTCCTCCTTGCCCTCCTCCTCCTCGAACTCCTCCTCCTCCTCGTCCTTGTCCTCCTCCTCCTCCTCCTCCTCCTTCTCCTCCTCCTCCTCCTCCTCCTCCTCCTCCTCCTCCTCCGGCCCTTCAATCTCCTCCTCCTCCTCGAACTTATCCTGCATCTTCCTGCTCGCCCTGCTCTTCCTCTTTGTCCTCCACCGCGGGTCTCCAGATGCCCGTCATGCATTCCATTTCCCGACGGCCCAGCCATGTTCGGGACGGCTTCTGCTCAAAACCAGCGCGCCCCGGGAATCTTCCTGGACACATCCCATGAGGCCAACACCTGGTCTTGCACTCCAGGAGCGGCAGATATATAGAGAAATCCGCTACACCTCAAGAGGACTATCCCAACCACCGCATGGTCAAACACTCTATCAGACTCCGCATGGCATGCGGCTCCCCGAAGCGCACAGGCACGCAGGACGGCAGCATTCACTTCCCCGCCCGTGGCCAGCAAGAAGATGAGCATGAAGTGCATCAGGTCGTCCGCTGCCGTGTACAGAGTCTTGGTGATGATCGCCAGCCGCTCGTTGCCCTCGGCGCCGCCGGCCGGCGCCGGCCGCCGCGGCGCGGAGGCGGCGGAGGCACGCCTGGAGCGACGCCGCTCCCCGTGGTTCGCTCGCGAGCGGCTGGCTTCGACGTTCGGAGGGAGGAGGAGGAGGAGGAGGAGGAGGAGGAGGAGGAGGAGGAGGAGGAGGAGGAGGAGGAAGAGGAGGAGGAGGAGGAGGAGGGGGAGGAGGATAGGGGGAGGAGAGGAGGAGGAGGAGGAGGAGGAGGAGGAGGAGGAGGAGGAGGAGGAGGAGGAGGAGGAGGAGGAGGAGGAGCCCCCCCCCAAGGGGGGCACGCAGCAGGGCCGCACAGGGCCCCCCCCCCCCCCCGCGAGGACGTCCGGGCGCGGGGGAGCGTGTCTGGGCAGACAGGCCGAGCCCTCACGAGGGCAGCTGGACAGGCTGGCGGCACGGAAGCGGCGGAGGCAAGTCAAGAGTTGCGTTGCTCCCCTCGTGCCGCAGGACCTTTGTGGGCCCCGGAAACGGCAGGGCCGTTTTTTCACCGTTTCCCAAAAAAGTGTCCCTTGAAAGTGGAAGCGGCCAAAAAACGGCGACCGGAAACTGTAAAAAACGGCTCCAGGATTGGAGCCGGAGCTGGAACCGGTAAAAAAACGGCGACGGAACAGGTAAAGCAACGGCGTCGGAACCGGTAAAAAAACGGCAAAACGGAACCGGTAAAAAAACGGTCTTGTCGTTTCCAGGGTCCACACATCCCAGAAATAATCTCGAGCAACCAAGGAAAAGTGTCGAGGCAGTGCCGAAGGAGTGTCGCCTCCCAGGGCTCGAAACGTGGACATCCTCAGGGGTCGGGACTTCCCTGGTGCTCGAGGTTATTTCTGAGGATCCATGCTGAGGCAGGCTGGAGCATCATGCGTCAGGAGCGACGCCGCTCCGCTAGTGCGTTCGCGGACGGCTGGCTTCGGCGTTCAAGGACCCCCAAAAAACGCATAGTGGCCGCAAGGGGACCCCAGCGAGGATGCCCCGAGAGTCTCCCCAGGGGGCGTCGAAGCGGGGGGGTCAGCGCTCGAGGACCTCCCATGAGAACGCAGAGTGAGTGGCCGCACGAGGAGCCCGGGAGGGGATGACTGGAGAATCCTGCGGAGTTGCCGCAGCGGGGAGGTCGACGCTCTATAAGACACCCTGGGGGGGCGCAGAACGGCCGCACGAGGACCCCCCGCGAGGATTCGCCTGGGGACTTCTTGGGGGGTGTCAGAAGGCGGGGAGGTCGGCGCCCGAAGACCCCCGAGGGGGACGCAGAGTGGCTGCACGAGGGTGCCTGGAGGATCCTCCTGATAAGGTGGGTGCCGAAAGCGGGGGGCTCGCCGCTCGAAGCCCCCCCCGAGGGGGAGCGCAGGGTGGCCGCACGAGGGCCCAAAGGAAGCCTGCCTGGAGAGTCCAGGGGGGGGGAGGCGCCGAGGCGGGGAACCGGACGGGCAGTCCCTCCGAGCCCTTACGCGAGCATCTGGAAGGTTACCCAGTACAGCGCTCCGTGGCCCCATAGGGAGCCTCACCGAAGCCCCCAGTGGGGCCGCCCGCATGCGTTCCCCACACCCAGTTTGGCAGTTTCGCCCGCCCTTTACAACGCTTCGCGGCCCCATGGGGAGCTCCACCGAAGCCCCCAATGGGACCGCCCGCATGCGTCCCACCCGCCTAATTTGGTATGTTCGCTCACCCAGTGCAGCGTTCCGTGGCTTCATAGGGAGCTCCACCGAAGCCCCCAGTGGGACCGCCCGTATGCGTCCCCCCACCAAATTTTGCATTTTCACCGAGACCTCCGTCAGGCTGCAGGGGGTCTACAGCACAACAGCACAAACAAGCACGGTGCTGCAGGGGGGGAACACGACTTCGGCGCCATGGGAGGCCACTGGGAGGATGCACGAATGCCACGAACGGACCGAGCTGGTGCAGAAATGCCAGCTGCGCGCAACGTCTTGGCATGGTCGACGCCGACGGACCTTTGACGCATGTGACAGTTAGAAGGCCACCTGCCGAACCAGAAAGTCCAGGTGCAACGGTAGCGTTGAGCGCAACCTATGTGGTGCAAGCTATGGGGTAAGAGAAAGGCTGTAGGGCGCAAGCGACGCGATTTAAGTTTTGTGGTGTACGCGATGTGGGGCCATCTGAGTGGTGCAAGCTATGTGGCGGGTGGTACCTCTGTGGCGTAGGACACGTTTGGCGATACACGTAGAAAAACTATGTGTTATGAACGATGTGCTGGTGCCCTCCATTCGGCAACACCCGGTTTGCAACACCTGACACCTTGAGCTCACATCCGCATTTTGTTCTGCACAGCCCACGCGGCCGCGAGGCAGTGACTCACGGGCACAGGCCAGCGCACCTCTGCGGCGGCGCTGGCGCGCGACAGCTCGCGCTCAGAGCGGCCTGCTGGTTTGGCACAGCCGATGCGGCCGAGATTAGGTTCACCGATGGAGACTTCCCTTCGCGTCTCAAAGGCCGCGCCCGGGCTTTTGTGGGCCCCGGAAACGGCAGGGCTGTTTTTTCACCGTTTCCAGAAAAATGTCCCTTGAAAATGGAAACGGCAAACACAGACGACTGGAAACGGGAAAAAAACAACTCCAGGATTGGAACCGGAGCCAGAACCGGTAAAAAACGGCGACGGAACCGGTAAAAAAACGGCGTCGGAACCGGCAACAAAAAACGGCAAAACGGAACCGGTAAAAAAACGGCCCTGCCGTTTCCAGGGCCCACTGAGGCCCGGGCACTGCAATGCAGGTCAGTAACTGGGCCGGCGCGGTATCATGAGGACGTCGGCATCGGCGGCTAGATGATGGTAGTAACGACGGTGGTGGCGATGATGGCGATGACGACGGCAAGGCCAATGACGGCGCCGCTGCTGGTGACGACGATGTTGATGATGTCCATGTGTCGGTGATGAAGGCGCTTGAGTGATGATGGTGGCAATGGCGGCGAATGTCGATGACGATAACGGCGGTGATGCGGCGGCGCTGATGAGGGCGACGGTGATCAGAAGCGCGCGCCGAAATGCAAGAAACCTGTCCCACTACTTGTTGGACAAGACTTCGTTCCCCACCAGCCTGTGGTGTTAGGCCTTCGTTTTGAATCAGCAGCAATCCGTGGCTCCATGGGGATTTCCACCGGATGCCCCAAAGGCAAGAATTGCATGCGTGACCGCGCCCACTCGGACACACCCCTGACACGCTTCGTGGTTCCATGAGGAGCTCCACGGGAGGGTTCAGTGGCAGGACTCATATTCGTGACCGCGCCCATTTCGACACAACCCTTACACGTTTTGCCGAATGCCCTGATGAGGACTTCCACTAAAGGCCCCAGAGGCAATGATCGCATGCGAAACCGCGCCCATGTCGGCACACCCCATCACACGCTTCGTGATCCCAAAGGGGGCTTCACCGAACGCCCAAATGGCAAGAACCGCATGCATGGCCGCGCCAATGTCGGCACACACTCTGCACACTTCGGGGCCCCACTGGAAGCCCCACCGAAGGCCCCAGTGGCAGGAATCGCATGCGTGGCCGCGCCCATTTCGGCACACTCCTCACACTCTTCGCGGCCCCATAGGGAGCTCATCCCAAAGCCCCAGAAGCAGGAATCGCATACATGACCGCGCCTATTTGAGCGCACCCTTACACGCTTCGTGGCCCCAGAAGGAGCTTTACCGACGGCACCGCCGCCTGCTGCTTCCTTAGGCCGCGCTACACGTGTTGTGTTATGCAACTCGCTACGGCTGACCTCTGCACCCCATCTGAACCGCCGCTCCGTCCTTCTCACGCACGCCTTGCAGCAAAAGTTCTTTTGCTCACCCCCTCCCTTAGCTTCCACCTGTTTTGCGGCACCACTAGCTGCATATGGGTTTGGGTCATTCGCCAGGCGAAGTTTCACACGCGATTCCGGAAATCTATACTCTTCGACACGCGCGCGCGCGTGGCCGCGCGCGCGCGTCTGGCCCGCAGGATTGCTGTCTTGCGGAATTGTGCGCTGGGCACCTGCTGGATCAAAACGAATGCAGCGCGTGGTGAAGTGAACATGCGGCTTCTGGATGGGATTGCTAAAACGATTTTCCTAAGGTTTCAGCAAATGCGCGGGCAGAAAATCCGAAGATTTGTGATGACACACCTTCGGTATGTGGATGAAGTGCGTGCAACATTTGTGCGTGCTCGTATGATTCCGGCATGTGCGCGCACGTGTGGGCTTCTCGCCATTTTTTGGTAATGCTTTATTGAGACATGCCCTTACGAGACAAACCAATGTGTGCGCATGGTGGTGATTGAGAAGGGGGGGAATTACCAACCTGGTTGAGATTGTACGCGTTCTCACAGAAAACGAAAGACGGGGCCGAACGAGATGTACTTTGCACTGTCCAAGGAGAGGGGGGGGGGCGGGGCGATGAGTCCGCCGGGGGGGAGAGGATGGTGGAATCTGTTTTGTGTTGGGCAAAGAATCTGCGTGGGCGCAGAGAGGCCCCCACGAGGCGCCCTCCGGGGGGGCCACACGCGACACCTCGGTATGCCCCCCTCAGGGCGGAAGGGCCCACGAGGCGCCCACGGGCGGGCCTGAGGCAAGACCTCGGCATACCCTCCCAGCGTTCGGTCGGCATGCAACACGCGGATTTCGGAGGAAAAATTGAAAACACACACACACACAGAAATCATCAGAAGAGCACGACACCTGTTGAGAGACTTGCGCGCCAGCAGCCAAAACGGCCATCTCAAAGTCCGCCGACACCTCGTGGGTCTCTGGGCGTGTGAGATTATTCCCCACCGTAATCCTCCCTCCAGGGTCTCGAAAGCGGAAACTTGACCCCCCCCACGACCCGACCACGACCCCCCCACGACCCGACCACGACCCCCCAGGAGGGGGGGGAGGGTCTGGCCCTCCACGAGTGGGCCTGGCTCTCCGCGGGACCCTCTTGCTGCCCCAAACTGGCTCCTGGAAGCTCCAAAACCGACTTCGGAACTTCCTGATGCCCAAGATGGCCCCCAAGGCGGCCCAAGAGGCGCCCAAGAAGCCCCCAAGAGGCCCCTAAGACGTCTTGGGGCCCAAAACGTCAAATTCTTATGGCAGAACGTGCATTCTCTGCATATGCGACTTTTCTGCCATCCGACGCTCCAAGACGGTCCAAGGGACCCTCCAAAAGACCCAAGGAGGCCCACGAAGGCCCCAAGACGGCTCAAGAGGCGCCAAAGACGACCCGAGAAGGCCCCGAGGCGGTCCCAAGAGGGTCCCAAGAAAGGAGACCGAACCGACAATGCGAGCCGTCCGCCCCAGGAGGCCCCCGAGAAGCCCCGAGAGGCTCCCAGAGCACGCCAGGAGGCTCCCAAAAGGCCCCCAAGAGAGAGCAAAACTGCCCCCCCAGAGGCTCCCCATGACGCCTCCCACGACACCCCAATCAACATCCACAAGGCCTCTGGCCCACGACCTGGGCACGGAGCGCGCCCGCTCCCCCTGCCCGCGCCTCCAGCGCGGCTTGATGATCGAAGCAGAGACGACGGCGCAGAGAATGCCTGCCATGGACAACGGGGGCCGTGTGTTCATCCACCGCCCGGACCGTTCAGCCTCGAGCGCTGCCCGCTGCCGGGGGCCCAGAGAAGAAACTCGCGGCCCGATCTTTCGCATGGAATTCGCGCCGTGGTCTGTTTTCTCCCGGTCTTGGAACCCGAAACGGGTCCTCTCACATTGTCTCTCAGGAGCCCCATTTTGAACTCGCCACGCCGGCGTCGTCGCCGCGCCGAGGCGGCACAGGCCTGCGTGCAGAGACCAACGCTGCACCCGACAGCGCCCCAGGGCGGGTAATTAGCACGCGCCCGACCAGCTGGCACGCGCAGGCTGGGCATGGCTCCGGCGTGCTCGTGCCGTGACGGCGCGGCGTCGGCGTCCGACGCCGCGTGGAGCGCTCCACCTCGAGCGATCGCCGGGCTGCCGACTGCCAGGCCATCCCGTGCAGGCCGACTCTCGGCCACGAGCGTTACGTCGGGCCTGTCCCCCGGCAGGGGGATTTTCGACGAAAAATGAAAGATACCCCCGAAAGAATCCAAAAATAATCCACAAATAGCCTGGGGACTATTTTGGAATATTTGTTGGCCTTTCTGGGGCATTTTTTAAGTATGTTTCATGTTCCGTCGAAAATCCCCGTGTAGGGGGACAGGCCCGACTTAAGACGAGCGGCGCGCTCCACCTCGAACAATCCGCGCCCGGGGACGCCGCCGCGTCGGAGCCACACGAGCCTGCCGCACGGAGCACGTGGGCAGGAAACCGCGAGGAACGTCAGGCTCCGACTGCTTACGTGATACCTCGGCACCGGCCCAAACAAACCACGACCGCCCAGCTCTCTGCCGCCACAGACACACACACACATAATCTGAGCCACGCCTGCGTCGCAGAGGTGGGCGTTGCGACAAAACGCGTGGCTCCTTGACAACAGCTTGCCCAAGAGTGTGTGGCCGCCGCGATCGCCGCAGCGTTCTCCAAAACCGACCCGGCGGCTTGGCTCTGGATCGGAGATCGCGCAGCGACAGGCCCCCAACGCTTTGGCAACAACAACAACAACAACAACAACAGCTCCAGGGCCATCGCTGGGCCCCGGAACCGTCTAACAGCGACTCGGGATGAATACAGTCATCGGCCTGACCTAATGAACGATAAATAAGGAACGAAGCCCCTTTTTATCCCAAGGAATAACGCAGAAGGAACGATAAACACTAAATAACGCATAAGGAACTGTAAATAACGCATGCAAGCCTCCTGGCCGCGGCGAGCCCTGGCCACAAAGAAGGGCTCCCCAGCGTGGAGGTCCGAGAAGCTGCCCGCATGAAGCAAGGAGTCCCCCCCCTTTCTGGACAGAGAGCAGCCCTGGATTGCAGGACCGTGCCTGCACATTGCCTGCGAAGCGATGCATCTGCGACGAAGCCAGGACGAGGATGACGTCGGGCGAGGACGAATTCGCCCCCCCCCCCCCCCCCCTCCTGTGTGAGGCTGCTTCCCCCCCCCCAGTATCGCCCCCCATTGACCCCTTCCTCCACGGGCGGATAGAAACCTCCCCGACGAGCCAAGGAGGGCCCCCAAACGCACCCAAGACGGTCAAAGAAGGCCCTGGGTCGCTGCAAGATCGTTCCAAGACGCCTCAGACGGCCTCCATGCGGCCCAAGATGCCGCCAAGACACCCCCAAACCCACCCTCTCGCTGTCGCCTACATCACCACCACCCTGGACGCACCCAAACATGATGGGAAACAGCCTACACACTCAGGGGGGTCGGCGGACGTGGCGTACGCCAATCGAATACCGAACCGCGCGGCGCCCCTGCGGGAACATTGACATAGAGGGGCGCGGGGAGGCGGGCCAGGCGCGAGAGCTGGACTGCTTTTCCAGGGGAGGGAAGCGTTTCGAACCTCTCCGTGCCCTCTGGGATTTCGTGGGTGGTGTCCTAAGGGGGGGGGGGGGCGCGGCGGCTTCCGCCGAAATCCTGGAGGGCACCTTGGACGGGGGGCGCTTCTTTTCCTCCCCTTTTTTCGAGATTGGCGTTGTGCTTCCCGCCTCCCGCTGTTGGGTCATCTGTTTGCTTCGGCTTGGGACGCTCGACACGTCGTGGGCAACGTGCGGGCTGCCGTTGGTTCTCCTCGCTTTCGGCTGGCGCTGTTTCCCCTTGATCTGGTGGGCTGGAACCCGAACAATTGAAACCAGGAGGGGGGACATGCGGGACAGGAAAATGACCACAACCACTGCTTCTTGTTTGCGCCGCCTTCCAGCCGGCCGAAAAAGAAGCAGTAGTTGTGGTCATTTCCCTGGTGCCAAGCTTAACGAAAATGACCACAACCACTGCTTTGTTTCTGCTGGCTGGAAGGCGGCAACGAAAGAAAAGCAGTGGCTGTGGTCGTTTTCACGCCCCGTAGGACAAGACCCCAGCTTTTTTCGAACCATCAACTAAGGGCTCGGAACACATGTGGCAGCACCTGGCAGAACAGTCGCTCACCGAAGGGACAACGTTTGAAGGCAGAGGGCCCACTGAAGGCGAACAAGCATATGTCTTCGGCGCAAGACGTGGTGCCTTCAGTGGAATGTCTGCCCTCGCCGAAAAAAAAATGTCATCAGTGAATTGGTTGGCCTTTGACGCAAATGTGTGCCTTCAGTGGGCCAGTTTCGCCTTCCGTGACTTGTTGCAATTAGCGAACAATGCTCGTCTTCAGTAAACTCCTTCCTCCTCCACTTCATTTTTCGCAGACGCGCAGAAAAATCCGAAACGCCGCATCTCCCTAGCCGAGCAGCCGCGGGGGGAACCATGGTAAGACTCTCACCACCGACAGCGATGCCCCCCCCACGACCCGGCGAGCGGGAACGATCGTCGACACACGAAACACGATGGGCTGGTAAGGCTCGTCCTGTCCCCCCCGAGAACATATCTTGTTCTCATAGGCGAGAAACGCATCCGTATCCGCGGCCTCGCGGGCCAGGCCCCTGGGCCGCGACCCCGCGGTTACGGAGCGCTTTTTTCGCGAATGCCACGCGCGTAACGTCTCCGTGCGACCACGTATCTGAAGGGGCCCCAGGACACACAAATAAATACACAGATAAAAAGATTTCCCGTCTTTTCCCATATTTTCTGGGTGTCTGTCTTCCCCCCCACTTCCCATATTTTCCCATATCTTCTGGGGAACCGACGATTAATTGTGTCTGTGTGTTTTTTCCCTCCTGAGTATCCGCGGGACCGCGCCCCCGAGAATGCACACGAAGGCGCGGACCCGGATGTGTGTGCGCCGCTCGCGCGATCCTTTCCGCCTCCTGCCTCCTTTTTTCCTCTCTTGCGGCACATGCCGCGCCGGTCTGTGGCCACAGTCAGCACCCACTGGCCTTACCAGCCTCGAATGTATCCCTATCCCTAAGATTGACACGCCAAAAGGCGGTGACAATCTTAGGGATTCGCCCTCAAAAAATAAGGGAATCCCTAAGATTGGCATCGTGATGAGGAGGTGCCCGGCATAGGGGTAGGGATATGTTCCAGGCTGGTAATCTTGCGGCACGTGCCGCGCCGGTCTGTGGCCACAGTCAGCACCCCCTGGCCGCATCAAGCCGCACGAGGAGGATGCCGAGCTCCACGGCGACCCGGCAACCGTTGAACCATCCAATTCGGCGGCCAGGGCGGCGCGCGGGCGCGGTCCTGCCGCCTCTTCCGTGAGCGCCGTGCACGGCTGGCGCGTGCTGGCGATATCGCTTTGAATGTCTCGCCGACTCCTTCGACGCGCTCCTGTGTCCTCCTCGCCTGTACTCCTGCTTCGCCCTCGCAAATCTCGAGTCGCTGGTGCCAAGCGCCAGGCCTTGAAATGCTGGAAGAACTTCAAGAGCATCGGTATGCTGGCGCGGGGGGCAGGGAGGAGAAGCCGGTATGGGGAGGCACTGGAGAGGAGAACTATCGAGGCCGATCATTTTTAAGGGGGGGGCTATGGATTGTGGAAAGTCGCATAAGGGGATGAGGACAAGAGGAGGGAGAGGCGGAGAATGGACGGGGAGTTGGTGAGATGCAGAAGCTATGAAGAAGAACGGGAGGGAGAGGGGAGAGAAAGAGAGGTGGCGAAATCAGGGTGGACAGACTGGAGCAAGACACCGAAGAGCCGGCGTGCCCATTGCATGCCACACTCGAAGGACAACGCCGCTCGCATTGATTCCCTCCAAGAAGTCTTCGAACACAAACACAAACACACACACACGCACACGCACGCACACACGCACGCATTCACGCGCACACTAACATACAGACAATGTGATCATCACCTTGACGTCGGCGGCGCAATGAAATCCACATAGGCGGTACCACCCGGAGCCTGGAAATGATGGCTTCGACAGCACCGGCCCTGAGGTTCCAGCAAACAACAAACTTGACTGGTCGTGTGACACGCACACAACTTTTCCTCCAGCAGCGTGACGGCACCGCCGCGAATGATAACAAGCTACCCGAACTGCTGGCGTTGCCAACCAGCGACGATGCAGGTGGAGGAAGCGCACACACAGGTACACACACACACACGGGCGCACAGATACCTACACGCTTTAGAACGAGGCTTTGTGAACACACTCCCAGGCGGGCACGCTGCACTGTCCAATGACAGGGGGGTCCGAGAGCGACACGTCGAACCAGGCGCACCAGGCGCAACCGGTCGCAAAGTGAACGAGGCAGGAGCCAAAGGGGAAGCAGGAGAGGGCGTGCAACACACAAGAGATGCGAAGGTGTGGCCCGCCTCGGCGCCAATGACACTGCCAGCGGGAGCAGGGGGGACAAAGGCAGCAGCAACGGGTTACCACCGAGGGCGGCGTCAGCCAGCGCGGCGAAGCAACACTTGGGAAGCAGCAGCGTCGAGTTCGACGTGGCTGCGCGGCCAAACGGGCAACGGCCAGTCCGGGGAGGCACGCCGAAAGCCATGCCGATGCGCTGCGAGAGTGGCACAGGGAGCCGCCAGGGAGCCACCGGGGGGCCACAGGGTGGCTGCCATCTGCACGTACGATGAGAACCATGTCGAATAGAAAGCTGGGGGGGCAAATGGAACTTTGATCCTTCAGCCTCCAACATCTTATGGCGCACCAAGACGTCGTAGGTCCCTGGGGCTGTCGGTGGGATAGTCGCATTCCGTGGGGCACCTCCTGTCGAGCCCGGTCTTACCTGATGACTGTCGTGCGGCGCAGCGCCTTGGATCGACCGCGGGCAGGGGAGGTCGCACGGACAGGCGGCCGCCAGCGATGTCGAAGGGCGAAGGCGTTACCGAAACCAGGGGGGAGGAGCTGTCGCATCGGTGGGGGCAGTAGGGAATGACTCTCCCATGCCAGGGGGGGGCGATAGCTGAGGCCCAGGATGGGGCAGAAGTGAGAAGGAGGCCATCGTGTCCGTCGGGAAATCAGCTTTTTCAGGATCCTCGAGGAGGTCAGGGGAGCCATCACCGTCTTCGTCTTCCTTCTCCTGTCCCTCCTGGTCCGCGTGGTCGCCGTGGCCTGTGCGAAGGACGGAGAGGATCCGGCGCCAACCCGAGGAATCCGCGCAGCCTTCCGAAAAATCACAAGGTCGGGAACTTTGTTGAGCGTTCAGGGATCTTCTGACCCGGGTCAATCCAGACCCGGGTCAGCAAGAAACCAAAAACTGCAATGCAGGAAAACAAAAACTGCAACGAAGGTCTTCGCAAACCCGGGTCAACCAATATGTGCGGCCGCCTCGCGGCCACGAACGGCTCGCTGACCCGGGTCAGCCAGAGCGGGTCTTCGCAGGATCCCGCAGGATCCGGTGCCGTGGCTGACCCCCGTCTGCTCTGACCCCCGTCTCGAGGCTCCCGAAGCGTGTCGCGGCGGCAGCCCCGGCGACACGATGCCCCTCACGAGCGGAGGGCGTGCCGCCGCGCATCGCGGGACGGGGAGCTCGAAAAAAGGCCAGGGGCGTCGGCGCCTCGGGACCGGGGAGTGGATCGCGAGTCGGGCCGAAGAATGATGGGCCAGAACCAGCGGCGCGACACGCTATCCAAAACTAATGCGGGATAACGATTAATAATAAATTGGAGAGAATGATTTTTTAGTTTTCTGCCATTTCTGCAACATTTTTGTGACTGGAGGAGAACGATTTAAAAAATTGTGTTCCAGCCCGCGGCCGTTTTTTTCTAATCGTCATCCCGGGCGCCGCAGCGTGAACACGACCCCTGGTCATACATTAATCGTCATCCTCCACTACCCGACCGTGCCTGCTCAGGGCTATTGCAAAGTCGGCTGCTGCTTCCCCCCGTCGGCCCCCGTCGGGCGCGAGGTGCGCAGCAGTACAGCGCCTCGTCCCTCCCGACCCGGGCTCCTCCCACCCGATCCCACTGCCCTCCTGTCCTAGAAAAAGAACAACGGCATAAACATAATCTTTTGGCGCTGCGCGCGGAGATCCAAGAACTCCGCGCGCAGCGTGAACAGTTTAAATGTATGCCGATGTGTCTTCTTCGATGTCGTTCCTCCCTCCGCTCCACCATCCGAGAACAGCGCACTGCCCAATCCGACGTTCGACGACGATCCCTCCACCAGTCCCTGGCAGAGGTCTGGGGCCACCCCTCGCGGATCGACCCCCCGACCTGTCCTCGGGTCCAGGGTTTCGCAGTGGACTTCGAAGCGGAAGCAGAAGCGGCAACGAGGGCGCCCCAGGAGGCCCACGAGGATCCCAATTTGTCCAAACGCGCGAGCCCCGAAACACGCACCTCGACCCGCCTCGCCATCTTCCTGTGTTCCCCTCCCTCCCTACGGGCACCGTCCCCAGCGAGGCGTGTCCTTTCCTCCCTTCCTCCCTCCCTCCTCACCTCCCCGTCCTCCCCTGGCGCTGGACCCCCCTCACCGGCGCCCGGAGCGCGCCAAGGGCTGCGCCGTAGGCGCCGCCAGGGGGCCCAAGCGCAGATCCAGGAAATCCGCGCGGACTGACTCAATCGATCCCTCCCGCCCTCCTTCCCTCCCCGTCCCCCCTCTAGCCAGCCTCGAACGTATCCCTATCTCTAAGATGGGCGAGCAAAAAGCGAGGACAATCTTAGGGATGGCCCTCAGAAACTAAGGGAATCCTTAAGATCGGCATCGAGGCGAGGTGATGTCAAACATAGGGATAGGGATATGTTTCAAACTGGTAACCCTCGTCCCTCCCTCCCGCTCTTCCTCCCTCCGGGGGCGCAGGGGCGCCCGCCTGTACCAGAAGGCCACCATCTCGTTCGCGCGGACCGCCTCGACCAAGAGAGACCTGCGCGCTCCCCGGGCCCTCCCGGCTGGCCGGGGCATGGCAGGCAAGAGGTGTGGCAGGTCTGATCTGAAGCATGCTGAAAACGTCCAAGCCGTTTAGAGCCAAAATGAAAAACGAATTCAGGAGGGGAAACCTTCGTCCTCCTCCTCCTCCTCCCAGGCACCCTCGCGGCAACGCGCGTGCGCCTGGGCCTCCCAAAAAGAGAGGCAAGCAGGTGCGGCAGGAGGACCCGGAGAAGGAGGAGGAGGAGGAGGGAGGAAGCCGGAAGGGGAGGAGGGAGAAGGAGACCCTCAGAGGGAGCGGAACAGGAGCAAGAGAGGCCAGGGAAGGAATCGGGCAACCAGAAGGGCCAGCAGCGAGAAAGGAGTGACAGGGATCACCAGTGCCAGCGAGAAAGAAAAAGAGGAGGAGGAGCCTCATGAGCGTTGTGAACAGGAAGAAGAGAGAGCCTCGAGAAGAACGGGGGAGGGGTCGGGGAGGGGCAGCAGGAGCAGAAGAGCGAGCAGGGACGGTGAAGCTCAGAGCAAGCTAAATAAGCAGTATGAAGGGGCCCTGGGACACACAAATAAATACACACAAATAAAAGGATTCCCCATATTTTCCCATATGGTCTGGCTTTTTGTCTTCCCGCCCAGTTCCCATATTTTCCCATACTTTCTTGGGAATCGACGACTAATTGTGTCTGTGTGTTTTTCCCCTCCTGACAATAGTATGCAGATGACACGCTTCGGAGGCTGCGGCGCTGCATTGCTCTGCGCTCCCACGCGTGTCTCCAAGTAGGCTTGGCCAGAGGCCCCCCTTCATGTGTGGCATTGCGCGGTCTTTGGAGTGGCACCACATTAAGTATGGCACTTGGCTCCTTGGGTGTGTCAAGGGATTTCTCGAGAATGGCCATGCGCTCCTTGTGTATAGCTGTGGGCCCCGTGCGTAAGGGATATAATACCTTCGGTGTCGCACTGTACTTCCTGGATGTGGCAATGGGCTCCTCGGGTGGATTCCGATGTGGTCCAATGAAGTTTGTGGGAAAATCAAGTTAGGCCGATGGAGCCATAATGAGTCGAATGGGAGTGCAAATCGAGTCCAATCGAATCCAAAGCATGCCAATTAAGCGAAATATCATCCTGTGGAGGCCGATGGGGTCGCATGGGTATTCCAGTGCAGTCCAGTGTCGCCAGGTTGAAGACCAATTGAGTCTAACGGAGTCGTGTGGGGCCAATTGGAGTCCAAAAGAAACAGTTGAATGATGTCCTGTAAACCATATGGGAACCATGGGGTCAAGTCGAGTCCTGTAGGTATGCCAGTGGAGTCCATTAGGGGTGGCATGGGTATTCGACTGGAGTCCAATGGAATCCAATGGCGACCAGTGGCGTCAAGTGGAACACTGGAGACCAATGCAGTCGTATGGCGTCCCTGTGGTGCCCAATGAAGACTACTGGCGTCCATGGAGTCCTATGGGGCCCTATGGGTCCCCCACTGGACGCCAATAGGGTTGTATGGGCAATTATTCCGATGGAGCTCAATGGAATCTCACGAGTCTGGTGGAATCCCCCGGAGTCCCATGGAGTCCGATGGAGCCAATTGGAGTCCTATGGAGCCTGGATGTCCATTACTTTCCAACGAATTTCAATGGCGGGAGACACTGAAATCTAATGGAGACCAAAGGAACCCTACGGAGTCCAATGGGGTCCAACGGGCTGCGGTGGGGCCCAATGGAGATCCATGCAGGAGACAAAGCAGTACCTCCTACGGAGGACAATTTTAATACCCCCTGCGGGGGAAATGCAATCACCCCTTCGGGGTCAAAACAATCACCCCTGCAGGGGGCAAACCAATACCCCCTGCGGGAGACAACGTCTTCATCCCTGCTGGGGATACAACATCCCCTGCTGGGGGTCATTGCAAAATCCCCTGCGGAAGACACAAGTACCCCCTGTGGGGGACGAAGCAATACGTATCCCCTGCAGGGGGCAGTACAATGCTCAACGTGGGGGCACAGCAATACCCCCTGCGGGAGACATAACAGTGCCACCTGCGGGGGGCAATACAATATCCCCTGCGAGTTCCCCAGAGTTCCCTGGAGTCCATTGGACTGGAGTTCCCTGGGTTCCTCGAAGTTCCCCTGAAGTTCCCTGGAGTTCCCTGGACTCGATTGGGTCCCATTGGACTTCACGTGGCTCCATTGGGCTCCAATGGGCTTCCCACACGACTCTATTGGACCTTGTTCTGATACTGATACGAATCCCTCGGGCTTCAAGTTCTCCATCGGACGTCATTGGACACCAAATGGCTACGTACGGTTTCAGTGCAATGACCATCGAATACATTGGACTACCTTAGGTTCCAATGGGCTCCATTGAAGTCCTTTCGCCTGCACCGGACAGTATGGGAGTCCAGCGAACTCGATTGGACTGAAGTGGACTCCATTGAACCTCAGTGTGCACCCCATCCGAACACCCATGCAAGGCTTGTGGGCTGCATTGGAATACCCGTGGGGCCCCATGACACCCCATTGGGCTTCAGTGGCCTCCATTGGACATAATTGAGGTGCTTTTGACAAGAAAGTAACTCAAGGAACGTGCCACACCCAAGGAGTCCATGTCCGTACCAAAGATCTTGCAGCGGCAGCACTCAGGGGTGGGGGCCGGAACAATCCCAGAAGCTGGTGTTAAAACTCGCCAGGCGAGCCCATTTTGAGAGCACTCGTTCTGGCGCTGTAGACGTCTCTTGTCTCACTGCACCATGATCACAGCGACGAAGCAGGTATGACGTCTGAGCCACCTAATGGAGACGAGGGCCAGGAGCGGTTCGCATCCCCATTCTCCCCTGCGTTGCGGGGGGGGGGGCCTCAAGCGAAAAGCACGCGCTGGCCCAGTGGACCACCTTCCCGCAAAGTCTCATGATCTGATGGGCCTGTCTTGCACCACCACCACCACCACAAGTTGGAGGGGGAGGGGGTCCTCCTCCACCACCTCCTCCTCCTCCTCCTCCTCCTCCTCCTCCTCTTCGTCCTCCTCCTAGGGGGTCCTCCTCCACCACCTCCTCCTCCTTTTCGTCGTCGTCCTCCTCCTCCTCCTCCTCCTCCTCCTCCCTCCCCCCTCCAACTTATGGTGGTGGTGGTGGAAAACAGGCCCATCATGACCACCGCAGTGCAACAGGCACATCACTTAGGCCACCCGAGGCCACCCCGACCGGGCTGCCCCGCGGGCCTGGCCACGCCCGGCCTGTCGGGACCTCTGAAGGGGCCCACAAACACAAATAAATACCACACAAATAAAACAAATCCCCATATTTTCCTAGATGTTCTGGGTTTTTGTCTTCGCCCCCACTTCCCATAGTTTCCCATATTTTTGGGGGAATCGACGATTAATTGTGTCTGTGTGTTTTTTTTTCCCTCCTGAACCTCCCAGTCGGAGCGCCGACTCTTGGCACAGCCGACGGCTCCCTCCCCGGAGCCCCGGTGATCACCGCGACGCAGCAGACATCACACCAGGACCCCCCATTTGAAGGGGATGCCCATGGGCAGAACTCGTCCGCTGCCCCCTAGTTTGAATACGAGTACCTGCGTCTACTCAAGAGCTCGTATTCAAGCTGGCTTACACGCAGACTGACTCACTTACTGTAGACTGGTCTGACAAAAAGAATGCGCTGGAACTTCAACGTTGGTGTGCTCGCCGCGCCGGTTTTGTTTTTCTGGGGTGTGCTCGCCGCGTCGTTAGTGTGCTCCCCGCGCCGCGGCTCTCTTCACATCATACTGGCCATCGCGACGTAGCAAGCATTGCGTTTGGCCTTGCTTTCCTTTTTTTTGAGGGGGGTATACGCGTCAAACCCCCACGACCATCGAGACGTAGCACGCATCGCACTCGGGCCTCCAAAGGAACATAAAGCTGGCGAGACGGTTACGACGGGCCGTTCGTTTGCGCTCGCACTGGCAGGACCGCTTTTGGGGGGGCAGACGCGTCCCATTCGCGCCCCAGCCGTGGGGTCCGTCGTTGGGGGGGGTGGGGGTCAACGCGTCTCGCTCCAGAGGCCCGTGATCACCACGATGCAGCTGGTATCGCACTTGGACCTCTCCGACAGCTGCCATCGACGAACGCGCAGAGGGACTTGCCCCAAGAAGTAATGCGTGTGACGGGCCCCTCAGGTCGAGTCAGGAGCATCAGTGGCGTCACTGTCGTCGTCACCCAAACCATTTCATGACCCACGTGTCAACTTGCCCTTGAGCACCGCTCACGTCTAACTCCGCTGGCGAATGGCGCATCAGACCTGCTCGCGGCCTGGCATGGGGGAGGGGAAATGAAAGTAACTAAGTCGAAATAAGAGGAAAAAAGAGCGCGTGCTGTGGAACACATCGGCAGCCCTGCTGGGCCGATCGTTGGGCCATCTTCGGCGCTCTTGGGCGCTCTTGGGCGTCGTGGGCTTCGTTTGCAAACTGTTGGTGCGACTTGGACTTCCCGGGGGCTGTCCCAAAGCAATACTGGACCTTCTGAGACGAAGCCAAGCGACTGGCAGAGAGCACTTCAGAACGTGATGCGTATCAGTGTTCCGGCCACGGATAGTAATGATGGAAGCTATGCCAAAAGCCTCTTGCGAGGCCTTGCCGCCTCCTTGGAGGCACTGCCTAGCCCGTGGCAGCCCCGGCAAGCCCCGAACACCCGTGGGAGGCAGTGGCAACCCCTGGCGGTCCTGGGAAGCCCTCGGAGGCAGCGGGAATCCTCGGAGAGGCGTGGGAGGCACCCGGGAGGCTCGGAGCGCCCACGCTCGGAATCTCAGGGGCGCCCGCAAGAGGAGGAGCCGCTGTTTGGGGGCAGGGCGCATCGCCCCCGACAAAATTCTCGTTTCAGGTCGGGCATGTCCCCCTGCAGGCCGATGTTCGACGAGAAATGATAAAATAGGCAAACGCATGTTCAAGAATGGTTAAGAATGCTTCAAACATCGTCCCCTGACTGCGTGTTGTTGATTTTTAGAATATTCCTCCTTTAGAGGGACAGGCCTGACTTAACTTTAGCGATTGAGTTTGTTCAAGGGCGCGTGTTCAAGCCTGGGGCCTGGTATGCGAAACCCGAACGCACGTGCACTCCCGATGCGATTCACCGGGCCGGACATGCACGCGGAGTCCGCCGTGCAACACGGCAAAAACAAACAACACATGCTGCAATGTTGAACATGGTGTCTAACGCGTCGGCGTGCAACATGAACCCCAGAACGCCAAGAAGTGAAGACACGGCATACGGAAGTGATTACGTGCAGCGTCGCACGGGAGATAACACCACATCGCGCCACCCTGCACGTCTCCACTACTTCATCACTAGAGCCTGTGAAGTTGCACAGTCTTTGCTTTAGGGGCCCGGAATGCCCAATTACCGAGTGAGCTCCTCAATGCTGCGAACGACCAGACACTGTGCTGGCAAGGGTCGCCAGTTTGGGGCCGGCCCGGCGTCTGGGGGTATGCCAGTCACCGCGCAGGAGCAGCATACGCAGCATGCTCGTGCCTGTATGCTGCGGCGCTGCCTATACTGGACTTGATTCCGAATCGTTGCAGCGGGTGGCCAAGGCGAACCATCGAATGCTGGCCGTCATTGCTCTGCCCTTGTCGAGGCAGGAGCCTTCCTCATCCTTCCTTCCACGGACCCTCCTCCCCTCGATCTTCCAATCCCTCTCCTCCCTCCCCTCTGTCTGTCCTCCTCCTGCTCATTGTCCTGTCCGTCCTACCTCACCTCCAGCTTCCTCGTCGTCGTCCTCCGTCGAATGGTCCTTCTCGCTTGCTTCTCAGCTACGGCCCATCGGTCGGACATCAAGTCGAAAGTGTCGCTCAACTTCTGGTGGTATGCCACCACCGCATCACCTGCGAACGGGTGCAAGCACGTGGGGGGTCCCTCTCTCTCTCTCTCTACCTCTCTCTCTGTTTCTCTGTAGATCGATAAAGCTATGCATGTCGCTCCTCACTCTTTCCCTCTCTGTCTCCGATCTTTCTCTCTCGGTCTCTTTCCCCCTCTACCCTCGACTGGCTGGAAGCCGGGGAGATGTCGGGGCCTGGGAGGACGGCTTACCCCCCTGCTTGTGCCCGTGTTGGGCAAAGGGCGAGGGTCGAAGGGTGCTGTTCCCCGGAACGCTTGGGAAGCAGGTTTCCCCACACATTCCTGAAGGATCCTTGAAGATTACGGAGGGATTCTTGAAGGTTCTTGAGGATTCCTGCGGGTTCCGAAAGGGTCCCAGAAAAATTCTGAAGGATTCCTGAAAGGTCTTGGGAGGTTCCTGGGGATTCTTGCGGATGCCTGAAGAATTCCTGAAGGATATTTCGAGGGTCCTCAGGATTCTTACAAAACCCAGAAGATTCCTGACGGATTCCTCAAGGATTCCTGGAGGACTCCGGAGGTATTCCTGAAGGGTCCCGGAAGGACTCCTGAACGAATTTTGAAGGATCCCTGAAGCATCTTTGAAGGATTCCTGGATGATCCCTCAAGGATTCCTGAAGGATTCTTTGGGCTCCTGCAGGATTGCTGCAGGACTTCTGAAGGATGTCTGAAGGATTCCTGGAGGACTCCCAAAGGATGCCTGAAGGATGCCCGAAGGCTTCCTGGAGGATCCCTGGAGGATCCCCGAAAGAGTCTTATATAAAGGGTCCCTGCAGGCCTCCAGGGGCCAGAGGACGAAGCGGGCCTCCAGAGGCCGCCAGAGGATGCCATCCCGTGACGTCGTCATTCCTCGTGCGTTCTCCGTCGTGGTCGTGTGGTCAGTCGTCCGTCGTCAGTGGTCCATCGTCGCCGTGCTCCCTCGCGGGCACGCCGCCGCCCGTGGGGACTGGGAGTGCAGGGAGGTGCAGGACGAGGAGGAGGAGGAGGAGGAGGAGGGTGAGGGGGAAGGAGTGGGAGGGGGAGGAGGAAGACCATTTGGAGGAGGAGGGGGAGGTGATGAGGACAATCTAATGATTATGCGGATGCGGACGATGATGCTGCTGCTGCTGATGATGATGCTGATGATGATGATGATGATGATGATGATGATGATGCTGCTGATGATGATGATGATGGTGATGGTGATGGTGATGTTGATGATGATGCTGATGATGATGATTGTGGGTCAGAAGGTGGTGAGAACGATGGGATAAGCAGGGTGAAGCGGGGCATGGCGGGGGGAGGGGAATGATGATGAAGGAGGAGGAGAGGTTGAACGAAACTGATGGGCAATGGCATGGGGAGTAGGCTGATGCTGATGGCGGTGGAGACTACGATGGTGATGGTTATGAGGATGATAATGCTGATGCTGATAATGATCATGTGTATGGTGAGTCTGATGGTGGTAGGGGATGATGGTGACGATGGTGACGATGATGACTGCCATGGTGATGTGGATGGTGATGATGACGATGGTGATCCAGAGGGGTTTGACTGTCATGGTGATACCCAGGCTGACGAGTATCATGGCGGTGCTGGTTATGACGTCGATGGTGATGGTGGGTCATGCTTACTGGCCTTCGGTCTATCCCGAGTCCGTGCTGGAGTTGTGTGTCAGAGGCCTCTGGGATACCCGTTTGGGGCTGATGGGAAGTCTTTGGATAGCTTCTTCTGGGAGGCACTTCTGAGGCCTGCTGAAGCCTTCTGGGGGTCTTAGGAGCCTCTTGGCGCCGTCTGTGGCCCTCCTTGGGGCCTCCGCGGAGCCCGTTGGCGGTCTCGGGGGCCCTCTTGAGCACTCTTGGGCACCTGCTAGGCCTTTCTGGGGCCCCCACTGAGCCATCTTGAGGCCACCTTCGAAGCCTCGTGGGCCGTTTTGGGGCGATCAGGAGGGCTTCTTGGGCCGTCCAGAACGCTGTTTGGGCCGATCAGGCGGACACGCTACACATGTGCTTTTGTCCACGGGACTGCGACGATGCTGTTCTCGTTGGGCCATGCTTAGGCCCGGTGGGCAATACACGTGACATCATACCGTCTCCCAACCATTGCGCCGCTGCCAATGGCCCGCTGCCACAACTACCAGCACTACACATACCTTCGAAACAACAACACCCCCAAAAACAGCAGCCACAATAACTAGCACTACGACTACTACTACGACTAAGACGACGACGACTACTACTCCGACTACCACTACTGCCACTACTACTACAACTCCTCCTCCTCCTCCTCCTCCTCCTCCTCCTACTACTACTACTACTACTACCACTACCACTACCACTACCACTACCACTACTACTACTACTACTACTACTACTACTACTACTACGACTACGACTACTACTACTACTACTACTACTACTACTACTACTACTGCGCCTACTACTACTGCTACTACTGCTACTACTACTACTACTACCACTACTACTACTACTGCTACTACTACTACTACTGCTACTTCTACGGCTACCACTAAAAAGCCTTATGCTACTACTACTACTACTACTACTACTACTACTATGCTACTACTACTACTACTACTACTACTACTACTACTACTACTACTACGACTACGACTAGTACGGCGACTACGACTACCACAACTACGACGACCACGTCTACTACTACGCCGACGACGACTGCTACTTCTACAGCTGCTGCTACTACTACGCTTACGGCGACTACGACTACTACTACAACTACGACTACTACTACAACTACTACTACTACTCCTACTGCTGCTACTACTACTACTACTACTACGCCTACTACTGCTACTACTACGACTACTGCTACTACTATCTCTTCGTCTGCTACTACTACTACTACTACTACTACCACCACTACTACTACTACTACTACTACTACTACTACTACTACTACTACTACTACTACTGCTACGACAACGACGACAACGACGACGACGACGACGACGACGACGACGACGACTACTACTACTACTACTACTACTACTTCTACTACCACTACTCAACTCCTACTACATTACGGCCACTACTACTACGGGTGCTACTACTACTACTACTACTGCTGCTGCTACTACTACTACTAAAACTACTACTACGATTACGACTACTACTACTACTACTACTACCACTACTACTACTATTACTACTACTGCTACTACTACTACTGCCAGTCCCGCTACTACAAGTAGAACTACTACTACAACGCTCAATACTACTAGTTAGACTACGACTACGGAACCGACTACGACGACGACTACTACTACTACTACTACAACTACTACTACTACTAGTGCTACTACTAGAGCTCCTACTACTACAACTGCTACTACTACAACAACAACAACTACTACTACTACTATTACTACTACTACTACTACCACTACTACTACTACTACTACTGCCACTGCTCTTACTAATCATACTACGGCTACGACTACAGCAACTACTAGTATTACAACTACTACTGCTACTACTTTTGCTACCCCGACTAGTATTACTACTACTACTACTACTCCTACTACTACCACTACTACTACTACTACTACTACTACTACCACTACTACTACTACTACGACAGGTGCTCCTCCTACTACTACTACTACTACTACGACTACTACTACGACTACGACTACTACTACTACTACTACTACTACTACTGCTACTACTCCAACAACTACTGCTACTACTGCTGCTATTATTACTACTACTACTACTACTACTGCGACATCTACTACTACTACTACTACTACTACTACTACTACCTACTACTACTACTGCTACTACTACAACTCTACGACTACCACTACTACTACTACTACACTACTACTACTACTACTACTACTGCTACTTCTACTACTACTTCTACTTCTTCTACTACTACTACTACTACTACTACTACTACTACTAATGCTACTACTACTACTACTACTACTACTACTACTACTACGACTACTACTACTACTACTACTACTACTACTACTACTACTACTACTGCTGCTACTGCTACCACTACTACTGCGACTACGACTACGACTACCGCTATTATTAGTACTCCTGCTACTACGATGACGACGATAACGACGACGACTACTCCTACCGCTACTACTGGGTTACTACTGCTAGTACTACGACCGAACATTATCCGGGCGAAAGACCCAACCATACGCATTTGTGAATACCGCGTTGTGGGTAGAGCTGTCGCTGGAGCTCCCCGTTGGGTCACGAAACGTGTAAGGGGTATGCCGACATGGGGCGGCGGACCCTGTCTGGGGACCTCGGTGGAACTCCCTGTGGGGCCACGGGTCGTGTATGGGGCGGCGGTGCCATGCGGACCTTGCCACTGGGGCCTTCGGTGGGACTCCATGTGGGGTGCGACCGTGTGAAGCGTGTGCCGAAACGGGGCGGCGGTGCCATGCGGACCCTGCCACTGGGGCCTTCGGTGGAGCTCCCTACGGGGCCACGAACCGTGTGAGGGGTGTGCCGAAATGAGGCGGCGGTGCAATGCGGACCCTGCCTCTGGGGCCTTCGGTGGAGCTCCCTATGGCGCCACGAACCGTGTGAAGGGGTGTGCCGAAATGGGGCGGCGGTGCCATGCGGACCCTGCCTCTGGGGCATTCGGTGGAACTCGCTGTGGGGCCACGAACCGTGTGAGGGTGTCCGACATGGGGCGGCGGTGCCATGTGGACCTGCCTCTCGGGCATTCGGTGGAGCTCCCTATGGAGGGGCACGAGCCGTGTGAGGGGTGTGCCGAAATGGGGCGGCGGTGCCATGCAGACCCTGCCACTGGGGCCTCTGGTGGAGCTCTGGGGCCACGGACCGTGTGAGGGGTGTGCCGAAATGGGGCGGCGGTGCCATGCGGACCGGGGCCTTCGGTGGAGCTCCCTACGGGGCCACTAACCGTGTGAGGGGTGTGCCAAAATGGGGCGTCGGTACCCTGCGGATCCTGCCACTGGGGCCTTCGGTGGAGC